CGATACGTTTGCGCACATATTGCATATCGCCACTTTAAACGATTATGAAAAGGTTTTCTTAACTTTTTATGTGATATGTGAGTACGGGACACTGATAACATCTATTTGCATCATTCCAATTTTCAGTCAGACGTCTGCGAGTCTTGTAATTCCATTAAAAGTAAACGCTTTATGACGTCACTATTGAAAAATATATAAGGACCTCTGCGTTAGTGACGTCAAAAAATGCATAGTTTATGTGGAATTACAAGCCACACACGTCTGGAATTGATGAGATCTGTGTCCCTTATACACATAATTTCTTTTAGAAAATCTCTTTACAAATCCTTTAAGGCTAGGGAACTTCAACAAAAAAATAAATTTTGTAACCAACTGAGCGATGCGCTTCCCCGTAGAACGCTGATACTAAACTTTGTAATAATCCCTTTAAATTGGTTGGTTTATCTGAATTCTGTGAGCTAACGTTATCTTTGGGTCATTGATAAGTTGTAATAGGCTATGTATGTAAAATCACCTGAAATCTTGCTCAATACACCTGTATCTGAGATTTTCCTTATAAAAACATCCTCATTACTGGGAGATTTGGTCAAATTCCACCAAATCAAAAGGAAAAGAACATCCTCTCATATTTGCGTGAATAGTTTTGACTCTTGATATATGGTTTTTGGTTTATTTTGGATAAAATTTTGATGTTTTGAAAACTGAAACATAATGGATAATCCTTCCTACTCGAAAGGTAAGTTTCTGTTATATTTAGCTTGTAGCAGAGGCTCAACTGGATTGAAGTTTAGGGGGTCCCTCTCCCGGAAAATCTCTCTCTCTCTCTTTTTACCTCTTCTGCATCATAAGACCCTGTCTGGCCCATAGCCAGAGAGATCTCCCAGGCCCAATACAAATAATCTTGAACCTCAAATTCGCTGGGAAATGTCAGGAATTTTCCTTTCCAGGCGTCTAATTCTCAAAATTTTCTTGTGGTGGTCCAACAGTCCCTATACAAATAAACCTTAAATTCGCCAGGAAATATCAGGAAATCGCGTTCAGGGAGTCAAATTCTAAACTATTCCAGAGGAGGTCCCCAGACTTCAGAAAATGGTGTTTCTAGGCTTCCAATGGACGTCCTCGGCAGCAATAAAGATAGCAATAACTCTAAAGAGAGCACCACTGTAATGCGTAACAATTCACAAAGTCCCACCACCCCCATAAGTACTTGGCTGGATACGGGCCTGGACCCTGTAAGTAATTCTAATGCCTGTTAATATATTTTTTTCTGGGGGTGGGTGCCTCCTTAGGGGTAGTGTGGGGGTTTGTTGACCTCTTTCAACCAGTCCCTATAGTAGTTGGTGGAGCCACTCTAGGCTAATTCAAATCATAGGCTCCTGTTTTCTTATGAACTCGTGAACTCAAGTGTTTCGGATACAATATCCTCATCATGACAGCTAGAGTTGAGGGGGAGGATTGAATCTATAGGACTTTAAGCGTTTAAGAAAAGCAGGCGAACTCACTGAATTGAGCCAGAAATCAACAATGTTTCAAATAGTGGAGATTTCAATTGTGGGGGGAAATTTTCCACTTTGGTGATAAGCTATTCTATAAACTTGTGACTGCCTGGATAATCGAAATTGCCAAAATCACATGACTTGGTCACATGATCAGTGTTTATCAGAAAAATCAAAATGGCGGACAGGGAAGAGGAGCGGAGACCCTTACTTCAAGATGCTGGCCCTATCAGCAATGAACCGCCGCCCCCTTATAGCACAGGTAACCAGTTAGAACTTTAAAATACACATCTTTCTATTATTAATGTTGTCATGTCATTTTCTTAATCGTAGACGTCCATTGTAGATGATTTGTCCGAATTCTGAAATTTGTTTTGAAACAATAGATAAGATGCTTCTTGTCATCTGATATCATCTTGATAGACCATTAGTAATTATCTTACATTTATTGCGACATTCAAATTATGATTTTCAAGTATAAACTGTAATATGGGATGTTAATTGAATGAAATCTGCTTTCAGACAACCATGGATTCCTATTTTGATATAATTTTACTGATACTACATGTGTTGTTATCTTAGCCTATATAGTGAAATATCTCTTGAAAATACTACTGAGAGTCTTTGAGTAAAATTGCCAAACTTTATAGGCCTACATGAATTATCAATTATCAATATGTTCAGTTTGATCATTTTATATTTTTAAAGAAACGCATTCCCTTTCTTAGAAATAATGTTTTCATTTGAAATACACATACTTCCTTCCTCAAGTTTCCAATAAAAAGGACTTAGGAATGTTGTTGTCATGAGTTAATGAAATTGTCAAGTCATGTTTCACTTAAAGAGACAGGTTTGCCATCTGTTTCATCAATTGTAGCCTACCTTAGTCTCAGAAACGGGAATTGTTTAGCTAAGCTAATCAGTAAAAGTGGCCATGTTTATCCAGAATTATCCATGTTTGAAAGTTAAAATGATGACTCGTCTTTTCTTGAGACACTGCCATATATAGAAATCATTTAGAGATGGAAACTGAAATTCCTAGTTTGAGATATTTTTTGAAGAAATTATGCCGTTTTCTTACATTACTAGTACTTTTGAAGACTATATACATATATTCAAGACCCAATAAATCAGCCTTCGAAAAATGGCGAACATGTCTCTTTAAGCTGAAAATCTTAAATCCTGTTATTTTATTTTATTTATAGAAATTGAAACTTCAGTCCATGGTCCAGGACAAGTGGTGCCACCTGTCAGTCCCAATGAATTACCTCCCCCTTACACCCCCACCCCTCAGGGTGGCATCCCAATGATCAACTGTAAAGTTTGTCAAGCTATGATAAATATTGAAGGCAAACAACATCTACATGTAGTCAAATGTGGTGTGTGTCAGGAAGCAACTGTAAGTATCAACTGGTGATGTTTGTTGTAAATCATTTAGTTTTCAAAAAAGTACAGATATTATGATGATGTCTAATGTTGAAAATATTAAGATTTGTAATACTGAGCATTTCTTTTTCAAATTGACAGATATTTTATACCTTTTCTGTGAACTAAGAGTGAAAATCTATTCATGCCTTAAACTTAACATTTTTTCCTGGGTAATGCTTCTTGTGAAAACATCAGATATGATGTATGTAGTAAATCATAAATTCAATGTTTGTCTGTTTTCAGCCAATTAAAGCTGCTCCACCAGGAAAGAAATATGTTCGATGTCCCTGTAATTGTTTATTAATATGTAGAGACAGGGCGGTCAAAATAGCCTGCCCTCGACAAAACTGGTATGTTAATAATTTCTTAAGTGAGAAGTGGGGGTCTTTTGATTCCAATAAAATTTAGATGTCCAATCAGCAAGTGGCTCTTACCATGTGAAGTTTGATTTATTTTATGTTGAAGTTTTACTTTATTTACACTCAGTGTTCAAACAGTTTATGATAAATTTATCATTATCAATCAGGTAAAAGAGTCTGCATCATTATTTACCCAAGAATATAAGATGTTGATATAAATTACTCCTGTTTATTTCAGTGGTAGAATAGTAAATCTAAGTGGTGGATTTCCCAGTGTTACTGTACGATCACCAGGATCAATACGAGCTTCATGTGTCCACTGTCAACAAATATTTATAGTAAGTTATTATTCATATTAATTCTAAAATATCTTAATAAAAAACTTTCATTTCATTCTTGAGAATGCTGTAGATAGCTGAAATATAGAGCACTCGGCTGATAAAGTAAACATATAGATGATTATTGACTATGACTAATGGATATATTGTGCCAAGCCCAGCATGTGATAGCGTCTTCTATAAAGATTTGACTGATTGAATGTTTTTGAACAAAAATTCAACTTTGCTTGTTTTGTTTTTAACAGTTTGATGTGAGTACAAGAGCACTAGCTAGATGTCCCCATTGTAGAAATCTGTAAGTTTTTTATTTATTTTGTACTTGATTAATCAGGACTCTTGTTTTTGCTATATTTGCCAGTTGTTTCTTAATGAACTATCATAAATAACAATGTGTAGAACCTGCTTTTGAGTTTTGGTTTCGGCATCAACTCTTTACCCTTTTTTGATCACCATGGAATTGTTTCTCATTAAGTTGATAAATATCTATTTCTTTTAGGTCAGCTGTTGGAACAAATTATGCTAAAAATCGTGGTCATGTTTGTTTGATATTAGGATTGTTATTTATCGGAGCGGGGGTTGGTGTCACCGTAAGTATGACTTGATACAGTTTTTATACGCCCACATCTCTCTATTTGGACGTATATTGTCGGCACCCCTGTCCGTCCGTCGGTCCTTCAACATTTGCTTGTAAACACTCCGAAAACTAGATTTTTTGATGGAATCAAATGAAATCTGGTATGTGTATACATATTCATAAAACGAAGATCAAGTTCGGATTTGAGCTATTTTGGACCGTTAGAAGCAGAGTTATTGCCCTTGCCCCAAAATCTTGAATATTTACCATCCGCATGCCGTGGTGGGCGTATATGGCTGTGGTCTACTATCTTTATATCCAGTTTTTGATACTATTTTTTATCTCTATGTATGTGAAATTATTTGGGGACAAAAAGGAATAAGGAAGCTAACGAGTATGAACCTCACAATCTTGTGTCCCGGACTCTATATTACATTTTTAACATTTAACCAAAAACAATGACCCAGAGTGATACATCAAGTCTGGTGGTTTCTGGTGACTGGCACCAATAGCTGATACACTCTTTATTTTGAGACTTATTTGAATTCATTAATGTAGTCCATAATCCTGTTTGATGTTGGAAATTTTATTTGGAAAACATCTGTCCTGATATTAAAAGATGAGCTCTTGTCATCTAATTATTATTTCTTATCAATTATTTTCAGGTTGGAACATTGGAATTAGCAGAACAAAATGGAGGAATTTATGTTGTTTGGACAGGTAAGATATGAACCTATGATATATTTGGCTTTTCATACAAAACCAGTTGAAGTAGACAAGATCAAGTTGCATTCAGTGTTTTAAAAGAGGAGATGTACTCTGATTTCTTAACTGATCCACAACAATGTATTTTGTTGTATAGCTAGATATATCTGTTAGAGTTTTAGACTGAGACTTGCTGTCTGGAAGAGTAGAGAAATCCAGATTTTGAATTGATGATGTTATTTTATTGTATTTTTCAGGGGCCTATATCCTGGGATTATCTCTATTAATAAGAGCTTGTTATATGTATTCTATTAGAACTAGTACGATAGTCTCCAACACTTAAAACTATATTACTTACTTTTTACTGGTACTTACAATTCTTTTATACAGGGGGGGGGGGGGGGGGGGGGGGGGGGGTACACTTATTTCTCTGCAACTTTTACATTATGGGGAAGGGGATAAATATAACTTTGTCTATTTTATAAAGGGGTGGGGAGAGTTCAGCTTGTTTTAGAGTTGAGAGGATGTGGAAGGGGGATAGGTTAAACACAGGGGTGGGGTGAGTCCACCGAATTAAAAGGGTTCGATTGGAGATTTGAAAGGGTGGGTAGTTATTTTAGTAGAATTTTTGACATTTCTTACCTTTGCTTAAATGTTGAAAGTCAAGTCGATGCACAAAACCAAAGAGATTTAGGCCAACTAGATTTTATAGCAAATACAGCTCTAGATATTTTGTAAGAATTAAACCAAAATGAAATATTCAGAGCTGTATTTTAGATTATTGGAAGTCTACTGATTATTGTTCTCGGTTTAAAACTATATTCCATGATCAAATTTCAACGTCAGGGATTAAAGTTTCCTTGTAAGACAATGGACTGAACAGGCCGTCTTTTTGAATGTTAATGAATTTAATTCTTTAGTGCTAATTAGTAAAGATATAGGCTAAACGTTTTTTGTTAATATTTTTATGTAGATATTTTGTTTTCTTCTGTTGACGTGAATATTTAAGGCATATTCGGTGCAAATTTATTGTTAATTTGCATAATGTGCTTATGAACATCATTCTCGATGTTTGATAAATAAGATAATTATTTCAGTCCCTGTCATTGTGTTTATAAGAATAATATACATATTTCTACATTGTTAGCCATTATGAATTTGTCTGTGTTAATACTGTTGATAGTCAGTACATTTATGATCTTTCAAAGATCGATGCCTCGTGCATTGCTTTTGAGAGTCTACCAGTGTTGCCTCTATTTAACCTTAAAGTAACATAACTGAGTTAAAATGTCCAAGATGTGCATATATATCGTAGATTAAACCATCATTACATTCTTATAAATAGCAACTTTAGTTGGTGCAATTAGTTTTTTCTTACAATTTTTTTAATAGTTTTTATTGTAGTATTCTTATTATGTATTTTTTTAGCCTCAGCTCAGTTAAGAACTTCAGCCCTGCGTTCAATTGCCTCCATTTTCAGAACAGTTTTCATAAGACATTTGTCACGCTTTTATTGAGATTGGGATGGGAAATGTTACAAGAAATCAGAAAGGCCTAGTAACGTTTTATGAACTGGATGCAGGGCTGAATAATCAATTAGTACCCAAGGATTTGCTCATAATCAATGCAATATGTGACCCCGCACATGGTATCAGGTATTAAGTTGCACTGCCCAGTAATAAGCTGTCAGTGAAGTATTAAAGGGGACTCAAATCTAGATATTAAATTGACTATATCTTCTAAACGGAGAAAGCTATTGAGATGGAATTGATATCAAAATGTAGCTGATGATGCCAGGAATCCAAATATACTGATAGCTCTACATACACCAAATGCTACTTAATACCTGGTTATATTTTAGTTCTTTTCTTGATTGATATACGTGTATACCATGAATAGCCACCATCAAACAGTGATATGTTGCAGAAAACTAGTGGAACTTCTACAGTGTACTGCCCAATCACAGATATACATGTCTATAGCTTATTATAAAACTGTGCCATTATTTTTTAAGCTTTATGTTTCAGAGCTAAGAGCTCTAGTAACTTTCATAGCAGACAAATTTCTTTAAATGACCATAGATAGAGAATCTACAATGACCATTGCTAATTATGAAATCTTTATTTTGTGCCATTGTTGATTTTTTTATGATTTGATTAACTGTATGTTATTGTGTTGAATTGAAAGATGTTGACCCTAACTTGATTTATATATTTATTAACTCTTAGCTGTATATATTTTGTTTCTTCTGACAACAAAATGGACAATTATTATTGAGCCAAGACGTTTGTGCATATTTAAGGATTGAATGTAGATTTTTTCTTGTTCATTCAAATGAAAAAAAGGCTACTTGAGAGTCATCTCTAGATGTGAACCAATATCTTTGTTTTCTATTAGTACACCTACTATCATAGCATTCCAAATAAGGTCACACGTTGTTACTATACAAGCTCTAGCATGTTTTTTTTTTAGCTCGTTATAAATATAATGTACACATGTACGATTATCTTGTTACTAATTCTGAAATATAAATTTGTTTTCTGTTTTTCTGCCTTATTCCTACCTCTAAAAGACAGCTTACTGTGTCATTAAGATGATTTCATTGACAGGGGGTCATCCAAGCATCCCTTTGTTGATTTTAGAGGGCAGTTGTCATGGTGAACGGTCAAGGTAGCCTATCCCTGGAATATTTTCTGTGGGAAGCTGGTGTTCTGATGGATGTATTTTGTTTTGGTCAATATTAAGTCTGAATCAGCTAAAAAATAATATGGAAGATACAGTGAGAAAAATGTGACCAAGTAGTTTACTTCACCAATATGAAAAAATATACCTACTCTATTAAAGTATGCTGGATGTAAAATCTTGGGACATTGGGTTAGTTCCCCACAATCCCCACCCACAAAGACATCTCTTAAACTCAACTGTATCATATTTCTGCCATGATTATATATTTCTACCGTGTTTTTTTCCTTTAGCATAAAACTGTTATAACAATGATGGCTCAACAAATAAAAACACAGAATAATTTTTGAACATGTTTAATTTTTACTAACATGATATGAAAAATGACCAGAATATGATTGAAAAATTTAAGATACGAAAATAATTTCCCTGAAATATACTAATAGGATGGAAAAATTATTGGCATAGTTTCTTTACGAATGATGCAGAAATAAACAAATATATGAGAACAGGTGAAATCTTCACTTGTTTTACAGAACAGAACCTGTATTTAAGGTCAAATGACAAATAACCTTCAACGGCAAAGTTACTACTCAATTGAACAGATTTCTTACTGTCCTTTTGTTTTGATCTGTAGATAATTTCGGGACTTCGGACTTCCTGGATGTTTTTATGGAATGTAAATTAACTGCATTGATAACAGATGAACAATGATGTTATCTCTCACATACACAAACAAAACTATCTTTAAGCTTTAAGGGATGCAGTCCCTTATTTAACTAAATATCATAACTTAATTTTAAGACTGAAAAAACAAGATAATATCCCTTTAATTGCTCTTTATCAAATTTCGCATAAAAATTGATTTGAATATTTTTTTTTGGCTTTTTAAGTACGTAAATACACTCACTCCTTACATTTTCATACACGCACATGCATACACACAAGTGTTCCAAAAAATAAAATCTCCATGTAATGTCATAAACAAAACCCCAAAAACTGAAACGAAAGTAGCACTAGAATCCATTTTTATGGATAAATTATGAAAAAAAAAAAACAGTGAAAAATAAAACAAAATAGCACAAAGTATTTGCAAAAATACGAACCAAAATTAGGTTCTGATCACATGTAACTTTTGAGGTATGGAATCTAATATGGCACAACAAAATTAAATTGAGAACCATCAGCTTTCTGACAACGCTTTCTCTCAACACCTGTAATTCACAATCCCATTTCCTTTTTTTCTCCAAAAATTTACGATTTTTACTGAAAACTGTTGACATCCACAACACGTAGAGGATCATTGATCAATCCATATTTAGAAATAGTTTTCTCTGAATTAACGTAAGCAATTTCTTTCGGACGTGATTTATGGATGAATTTTCCACCGAAGAAATTTGGCGTATTAACGAAATGATCTTGAGCTCTGTGATCTGGCTGGTATTTATCATGCTGCCATTTTTCTGTATCGTATCTTTGAGAACTCTGGTATCTTTCTGAACCATTGTATCTTTCTGACCTTAGTTTGTGGAGCTTCTCCGGTTGTGGGACGAAATTTAAAGGTACGTCATTTTCTGGATTAAAATGATCATGCGGCCATCTTTCCTCTTCAGGATTTTGGAATCTTTCGGAAGCCGTACGGTCAAATCGATCAATTTGCGTTATGTCATCATATGCAATCTCTGCCTTGACTTCATAACGGACTGGCGATACGTCATGAATTTCTTTAACCATGACCTTGTATCTAACATGTTCGCTGTCTGCTACTGGAACAGTGTTGTTATTTCCACTAGGATGACGATATGAAGGAGCTCGGACAGCCTCGGAACTATCTTGAGGTTGAGTATTATTGTTTCCACTTGCTCTCCGGAGATTTGGATCGCGTACTGGTTCCGTATCCATGTGTTCTGAATCGTGGATGTCAGTGTTGTTGTTTCCGCTATTTTGTCTTCCGAGATTTCTAAGTGACGTAGCTTCTGAATGATCCTTTTCCAATGATTTGTTGATCTCACTAAAAGTGACGTTGTTGTTGGAGTTCCGATTCTGTGATGCTATATTTCGAAGAGTGAAAGTTTCAGAAGTTTCTGCAGGCATGTAATATCCCCCGAAATCTTTCTGAAGAGTGTTGGCTCGACCATACGGGTGTTCTAGATCCTCATCGTTCTGGGAGATAGTTGCCATGGGTCTTCGATTACGATTCTCATAACTAGGTCTGGCATTCAAGAATATGGTATCATTTAAAGGTCCGAGCTCATCAGGATTTATATATTCTGGTTCCTGAAAGTAAAAGAAAATTTTACCGAATAAACAACATAAGCTCCCTGAAAGAGATATCAACGAATCTAAATACCAAATAAAAAACTTGTGGAGTCTCCAAATTGGCATCAGATATTTCTGAAGCGGAAGCATGCCCAAACCTCCAGAAAAAATAACGTGTTTCCCTAAACTATTTGCCCAAATGAGACACAGAACCCTAGCACCTCGAAATTGTTCTATAATTTTCATTAGACTGTTTAGAATTTACCTCTGTCACAATATCAGGAATTTCAGTTCTAATTTTATTCCAATCTTTTGGTTTACTGTGGGTCAGGTAACTATTAGCCAGCATCAACAATTCTTTAGATGAGTATTTCCGATTCTCTGGCACTAAAACAAGAGATACAAATTAAAAATTCATAATTTGTTCGGATTGAAAATGATATTTAAATTTTTTTATTATGTACGAGTTACCAATCCACCATGAGCGATCTCACTGTTATAAAACATCTTACTGAGTCTGCAGTCAGTTTTTCTCTTTGACTTTTGATTACAGCTACCCTAAGATATCGAAACTTGCATTGGACTGAGTTATCCCACGGAAACAATATTAGAAATAAAGTTAAAACTTACACGATGAAATGCTGTGATTCATCACTGATGATTCTTGATCTTCTGTAAAACTTGTCTGGAATGAAAAAAAAAATTAAAAAATAATTATTTATCCTAACTTAATATAATTTGTTTTGTAAAAACTAAAATTTCATTAAAATTCTGAGTAGATCTGTTTCCAAATCCTATTAATTCAATTTATTTGGCATATTAAGAAGACTTAATTCCACCTAGTTTGTTGCATTTGCAAAAATAAGAGTTTACCTCTTGGCTTTTCTCCCCTTTGTCTGAAGTTTCTATTTTTATCAGCTTTGCCTCCAGTTGCTGGGTTACAATTGTTGTTACTCTCTAAAAAAAAAATCAACCAGCAAATTTTAGTGCAACCTGTCAATTTCATGTCAGCCCGTCCAATCTGCACCATTTACACAAGGTATTATCTCTATGTCTGCATAAAATGGTCCCCTTGTTGAAATTTAAAGTGCCTACTTACCATTAAAGTTCTAATAGAAGTACTTGCTATCACCAACATGTCTCCTGTATACTCCAAGGTTGCTGTGAAAAACTTGTTACTTTTACTACAGAAATATAATCACTCAGAAAATTATAATCTATTAGTAGGGCCTAGACTGAGACTGGATATAATGTGCCAATCATCTATTTGACACCCCCATCATTCTAATGAACTCTTCCGCACATGCATAATTTCTATCAATTACTTATAGTATCTATAAGATTGGAAGAGCTCATTTGTAATATTAGATATGTTTATGTTGCCTGTCAAATCCTATCCAAAATTGATTTTGCAGTGATTTGCATATTCATATCGTGAAAAATTACATGGCAGCCAATGTTTCACACAGTTCATACCTATAAAACAAAATTTCATTACTTACCTCTTTTCATTGTGGTTTTCAGTTGGTTGAGACTTTTCTTGGGTATTAGGGTCACCTTGCTAAAATACAAATTTGAAATTATAAAGGGACAGCATCACCATCCATTTGACCAGCCATACCTTAGCTTATCAGTAATAATAGTGTTCACAGCTCAGCTTCAAAATTAGAGCCTTCAAATCCATGTGTATTCAGAATTATCTACTATAATATTCAAGACCGCGCAAATAGCAAACTATGGCCTGTAACAACCTTTGATGTATTTTCAAGCTATCAGTAAGTTTATATAGAAAGGTTTATTTAGATAAACAAATTGAAATTGTTGTGATGTGTTAAACTTACATTAAAACCTTCATCTTGTGGTTCTTCTTTAATTCTTATGTCTTCCATCTGAAAAAAAAATTCATAAAGTTTATAATTCAGATTTATAGGACATCGTTATTTTTCAGGGACCTTTTCTTAATGAGGCAATTAAGAATTTAAGAAATACAGTTATCTGATTGGCTAATACAGACATATCTTAAACATGTTCAAGTGATTAACCAATCAGATGACTGGAATTATAGGCCTAAGTTATCTTAGACTTTGCCACTTTAAATTCTGTTTTCTAAACTTGGCCAGTGACAATGGACTTTGATTTTGGTTTTAATGGTTAGAATTTTAATAATGCTAGATCATTGGTTTATGGATTTAGTTGATAAATATCTTACCGAAGGCAATGGTGATGATGGTGGGGTAGATTCATGTAGTGGGCGTAGCTTCTTTAACCCTCGTAATTTAGGCGCCTTCATACATAGTGTGGACATCTTGCTGGTATAAAATTTTCTATAACAATAAGGTGCCAATATTTAATTCTCTAAAACCAGAAGATTAGCAATTAGGGTTTTCAGGTGTGCCTAAATATATGCCAAAGACTGAAAAGAATAAGCTCCTCCTATGGCCACCATTCTGGCATTCAAAGATCAAAATGGTGAAAATGCAGATTGAATATTCGATGGAAACATAAAATCATCAGGAAAAAAACTATGAACAGTAACTTAAGCCAAGTAAAACAAGATCAGGCGCAGGGTTCGACTTCAGCCAAAAGATATCATCCATTGGCATTGCCTTGTCACTTGTGGTTTTGGCCTTGACATTGATCACCTCCATTCTGAAAGTTTTCTAACTAAGATGAGTTGCAAATGTGATGTAGTCTAATTTGTAAGTTAATTGGTGGCGGGAATTTGCAAAACTTGCAAACTTTAATATGACATTCAAATAAACAACAAAAAAGTCATAAAAACTAACCTAAGAAGTAGGTTCTTACTGAAGTTGTCTGCACCCTTCTGAGTCAGGAACTGTTATGACCGTCCACGTGACGTATCCAGAATTTAATGGAAGTTGTCCTGCAAAAATTTAACTCTGGAATCAACCAACTGATACAATAGGGGTGTTAGCTTACAGTATTTTTATTGGGGTGGATTAAAGTAACGTTATGTAAGATTTCTAGAATTGAAGCTCCAATGGATATCAAGTCTGTGATTTCAGTTAACTGGAAGCGGATTAATTTGTCATGTAGCATCCTCACCATAAAGTTGTCCAGGTGTTACTGACTCTTATATAGATGACAGACGATAGCTTGCAAGTGTTTTAAGTTTACCAAGGAGTAGGGCCTAAGAAATATCTGCTGACGACACAAGAACTGGTTTAAATTGTCGCAGGGAACCGTTTCTGCCTGGTGCTATGAACCTCTTGCAAATTACCCCCCCTCCCCCTAACTTAACATGACAGGGAACTACCCTTAGTTTTTTTCTCTCCAGGAACCCAATAAAAAACTGCTTCCTGTGACCACATCCTTGATATTTGGTTCTAATGCCCCTATATGGTTCAATAACTCATCCAGACCCTGATGAACTGATTTGCCAGAAGAGATGCTTATCAGATTAAGAAAAAGCTTATATATAGGTACCATATACATATGCCAATTGAAGTGAACGGATTCTAAAATCGGAAAAAATTAGTATAAACTTGTGTATTCTAATTATCCTCACTGTCGCATTTTTCTTAATCCTTTTGAAATAGATAAACCCCGAAATCCTTGAAGATTAGACCTATAGAGCTCGAATCATAACTTAAACGGTCCAATCTGTTATAAATTACAGACCCCTGACGTCAAATCCTTCTTATTCCTAAACCCTTTCCTGTCTGGAATCCGTACAGTTTTACTAGAAGTTTTACCTAGTATTCAAATTTTGTTAAGTGGAATATGAGCAATTATGATTGTAGTCTTTCTATGGTAAGAAATTGTCCCCTCCTTTCTTCTATGACCAGACAAACTTCATTTCAAATTTCAAATGTTTCTGTGAGTTTTGTGGAAGAAGGTGGACATATTCTTCTCCCCAATTCTCATGCTACGTTTTTCAGGAATCATTATTTTTTTTTATTGAATGACTTAACCTTCAAATAGATATGACAGTCCTTTAGCGGCAAAGCTATAGCCATAATTATTACCTAAATACTCTTTAACTTATCATTCATGGTTCGTATAAAACCATCCGTAATGAATGGGTATGCAATTCTTATCAGATGTTTCAGTGGCCACTGTAACATGGTGTCCTTAATATGACGGTTAGTTGCACATCTCTATACTTGACTGACAGCTCGGAACGATGTCAGTGTGACGTCACATGGCGCTCAAGATGGCGTCGATCAAGACACTCCCTCTCGCTTCATGTAGAAATTTCTAAATTCATGGATTAATTTTACGATAATTTACGAATCAAATTGAAAGGATTTGTAGTTAGATTACCGTAGATTGGAATAATGGCGTCTGCCAGCAACATACCAAGGGATGTGCAAGGTAATTAACGAAATTATTAATAATAACGTCGAGTTGAGTAGTTTATCCTGCTTCGCCAACTATTTTGTTTACGTTTTTGTATGTCAAATATTAGCAAGCCCCATGTCAACATCCTTGTTGTATGACTTTCTTATGGATTACCTGTCATTAACCTAGGATTAACGAATGTCCATTTTGATTTTCAGACAGCATCCGAGATGTAATGGATCGAAGGATTAAACTTGGAATTAAAAGACTTGTGAAACAGGAAATAAGGAATGATAAGACAGATAATAGAGTGTTGGTAAGTGGTTTTTGTTTTTTGATAAAATGCCAGGTCCTAGACTCACTAGACTTCAGGTGGAAAGAATCTAAGAAATGTTGAAATAATAGGTTTAATTATAGTCTATTATAAATCTGGGCCTACTGTACTATTTCAATCACTGAGTGCATGCACTGCACTAAAGTTTTTCCTTGAGCTATGCATTAATTGTATCTATAATTACCTAGCTAGGCTTATACTAATTTAGTAAACCAAACCAAGACTATGTTTGAGCCTTCAGTCGTAATAGTATCGCACATCATTGTAATGTAATGTTAGGCAAACAAACTTAGCCTTCACTGTTACTAAAAGCCTTATCTAATGAATTATTAGTAATATAACCTCCTAAATATCTGTTTCTTTGTTTATTTGTTTACCTCGAAAGGGTCAGGTGATTTGTTTACACATATAATGACAGTGCAATAATATTTAGTAAATCTATGTCATTATTAAGAATGTAGCAGTTTGGAATATTTTGACTCTTGACTGATAGAGATTCATTCTTAGAGCCTGTTTTTTTTTGCCAGTTGTTTTCCAAGCATGCTACTATTACTCAAGTTAAGCATCATTGAGCTAAGTGTCGGTTCAATAACCTCTATCTTGTTGGATATGTGGGTAATGTGAAGAGCCAAGGGGGCAAAGATTCAGTATTTGCTGCTTGGCAGTGATTAACTGAAATGGCGTAGGCATCTATCTTCTGGCAGTCCCTATTGAATGGTTCTACAATAATTTCAATTGAAATATATACCCCAAAAAATAATAATGATAACTTCAAGGCTCAATTTTCTGTTAGAATTATGATATAAATCCAAATTATGGCCCTAACTAAATCTAAAAACCTATGTCTGCTTTGACTTTGCTTTATCATGGCCCATGATAAATGAAAAGTTAAAACTTGTATTAACAAGTAGAGGTTGTAATATATTTATAGTAGCAGACAGTTAGCCCATTGTAATACTTTAGAGTCTAGAGTGGAAACCATAGAGATTAATTAAAACTTGACCTAATTAGCCTTAGTACTCATTAGTCTAATTAAATACTGATACTCTCACTGCAGTTGGTGGAGGTGGATGTTAATTTGTCATCTACCAATCTACCAACTTCTTGGCTAGTTACTAGAACTCTCTAGATTTGGGTGGAGTCTAAGTTGAGAGTTGTGTCGGCTATCAAATTGATAACTAGAGATTCTGACTGCTCAGATGGATGACAAATTCAAATTTTGTTAAGTGGAATATGAGCAATTATGATTTTAGTGTTTCTTTGGTGCACTAAATCCAGTGATTGATCAGATTTTCATAGATGTGAGGAAAATTTAGCCTCAAGATTTCCCAGAGTCCACCCCCAATTCTATGGTTTATCCATCAGACTTTAAAGATAGTTGACACAGAATAGTGTAGGCAGAGGAAATGCTGAGTAAAAAGGAATATTATTTAACCTTACAGCACAAACAGATTGTAATCTGTACTCGCAATTAGTGCTGGGATTCATTATGGAAATTTCCACTAAGACAGTGACAGAGTTACATATTTAAATACAGGACATGAATTAAGTTTAAAGTTTAAAGAATCTTGTTCCAATACTTAAGTGAACTTCCTAATTCCTAGTTAGAGCCCCTATTTAAATATCCTAATAACTGTTCTGTATTTAAACACCCTAAGCAAGTAAACAGTAAGATAATATTACAACTGAGCATATTGACTCAGAATTCAGGAAGTTTTATCAGGCTATTGACAATATTTATAGAAAAGAACATAATATATTATATGATTTGACTAGGTTAACCCTTAAATTATAATGACAGTCAGTATGTTATAGACATAGATCATGTTATTAGTTTGTTTTGACTTTATAACAGACTGTAGCTTAATCACTTAGAGTGTTGGAATAACTGATTTTGGTTAACCCTTTTATAATGATGACAGAGAGTGTTCAAACCTTTTTTAAATGTACCGGTACCATTCGTTGTATGATGCTTTAAATGGGTGTATTTGATACAATAAACTTATCTTATCTTATCTATATTGTATCATCAAATTGAAATGTAAAAACTGTAAAATTTTCATATTTCATATATTCAGAGGATTAAGCTTATACAGGTAGCGAATTTGAGCAAAATGTTTTTTTCTGGTAGGTTAAATGATAAGAATAGAACTACCCAATGTTATAGTTATTATAATAGTAGAAACTAATAGAAAACTAACTGGTTGGGTTGGGTCATATCTAAACTATTACTATTATTTATTACACCATAAAGTCTACCATTAATTATATATTTATTTATTTGTTATATAGACTGGGTTCTTTCAAGAATTGGTAAAACTCTAGGCTTATTTTTTCTTGTCAAACATTAATCTTATATCTGTTTTTATGTATGTTCTGTAAGGGAAATAGTAATACTTGGAACTTATTCTTCTTAGACCATGTTATTCTATATTATGATTAAGATAATAATTGACAGTGACAGTGACTTGACAGTGTTTATTTGTTTAATTCAATGCAGCCGTTTGTTACATGATTACCAAACAAAAGATTTAAAAACTTTATTGAAGATCTATATAAAAAAGAGTTGATAGAATGAGATCTGTAAGAAGTTTGTGAGAATTGTGTTGAAATGTAAGAAAAGTTGTTTAAAATAAAGATTATTTGGGACAATAAAAGTTAAACGAAGGTCAATTTGCCAAGATTGATTTTTTCTTGTTTATATTGACTCTCAGATTTACAGCTTTCTGGCCATTTACCACGAATTAGACCTTGTACATTGTTAGTCTTTCTACATTTTACTGGCACATTACAGTAGCTCACAAAGTCCCCGCCCCTAATAAAAGGTTCAATATAAAATGGTTTACAACTTATGTTGGGGCCCTACCAAAGGGCAGTATTATGTCCTTAGTTGAAAGAAAATAAGGGTGTCAGAATGCAGGAGAACAGGGGAGTGGGCCCAACCCTCTTAAGTCCAAGGACCCCCACTCATCTAGTTGAGCCACTGCTAAATTTATGTTATCTGACTTCTTACTCCTTGTCCAGAGAGCCTTTATCAATGCAGTGGTACTCTCCTATAGAAGCACTGGCCAAGATCACCACTCACCAGTCTGTAACTACTCATGTTCCTGTCTTCACCAGGAATAACGCCAGCGTCTTACACGATTCTGTGAATTTCTTTAATGATTATATTTCTCTATACTAAAGATGTTCCAGCCTAGAACAAATGAAATAGTTTTAAATCTTACTTTTCAACACATGCTTGGCCTATTGAAGAAGGGCATCGCCCTGCAGTATGCAGAACACCAAAGGGTAAAATTTCATTCAGCCAGTAGCACTAGGAGCCTGTTTTATTGTCCCATCTGAAATACTTAGACACTTTTCCATGTCAGCCTCACTGAAAGGCAGAAAGTGGGTTTAAAAATATTAAGATATTATCTTGATATATGCCCGTAAGGAAACCTGGATCTTCAGGTTAGAAAGGAAGTTAACTCACTGAGCAATCGTCTCCCCCTCCCCTCTCAGATGATAACATCAAGTCCACCTATACAACTGTCAAACTACAATTGAAGTATTAGTATGAAGTATTTGACACTATTATGCTGACTTCTACACTTGAGGTATTTACCAAGTTTAATGAAAGGTTAACTATTCACAATTGACTAGAGTGTTTATTCTCAACACAGTGTTTTTCTAACAACAATTACCTGGTAAAACCTGGCTACATCACTCTTCATCTTACACTGGTTAAGTATTAAGTCAGAGGATGAGGTGGCAAGATACAAAGTCATACTAACCCTTTCAGAGAGTTCTATTACTTGCTATATCTAGATTTCACTGTCCTGATGAGGCTTGTGTATCTGAAACACATGTCAGCAGCACTATTCAATGTGGATGCCTCGATTTAAGGTAACAAGCACTAACAAGGACAAACTAACAGTGCAGTTGATTTGGTTCTGTGTGCCAGCCATGTATGATTGGTGTCAAGGGATGCTGATTTGTCTATTTTTGTCAGTCTGGTCTGATTGGAAAAGTGCCATGATTATCTGAAATTGAGCTCTTATTAGCACTATATCACTTCAAATTGAAGTCTCTGTTATAAATAGATATATAAAAACTGATGAATTCCAGGGTTATATAAACTATGGCTGCAGGTCATCTAGAATAGAACTTTGTCAGTCAGTCAGTCAGTCCGATACTAATATACTATACAGTATATTATAGTGTTTATCTTAAACTATCTCTAGTGGAAGACACCTGTTAATCACAGAACTCTTACAGATTGACTTCCAGGCAATCTTGAATTTCAGGAATTTTTTAAACTCTTTTAAAATACTATATCGGGTGTTCCAAAAAAACCCACGACATCCTGAAGTATATCTCTGAGACTTTTGAAAGAGATCAGTTTACCAACAGCGGAGATACTACCTGTCGAACTTTGGGACATTTTCATGGGACACCCGATATTAGCAATAGTTGTTATAAAGAAAGTATTTACCATACATCACAGATTTTCATCAATAGTTCTGAGCCCTGTTTCAACTAAGATACAATCCAAATCAGAAATATTTGGCTATTAGATTGGCTGATAAATTTGACTTAAATAGGAATGAATTTTAGTGATAATTCAATCAGTTGACTGGAACAGACACCAGTAATAACCATAACAACCTAACCTATGTGGACCCTCTGAAATGATGCCAAATTTAGGAATCAGTTGCAGACACTAACTCCAGTGCAATGGGCATAAAAAAACATCTTTAGTGATATTTAGGGGCAAAGATCACATTAAATAACGGAACAGGATTTTATTGTATAGTACTCCTACTAATAGTTCAAAAACTTCAATTTTACTCCCTGTCCAAAATTATAATCTAAATAAAGAAACACAATTTTATAGTATACTACTCCTGAGTTTTATTGTACACAACATTTCAACAATTAGGTGATTGATGACAATGTAAATTGTTGAAACATTGTATGCAATTAAACTCCGGAGTAGTATACCATATAAACTGATGATGACAATGTAAATTGTTGAAACATTGTATACAATAAAACTCCGGAGTAGTATACCATATAAACTGATGATGACAATGTAAATTGTTGAAACATTGTATACAATAAAACTCAGGAGTAGTATACCATATAAACTGATGATGACAATGTAAATTGTTGAAACATTGTATACAATAAAACTCAGGAGTAGAATACCATAAAATCTTGTTCCATTAGGTAGTTTTTATTTTTGGATGTAGAGTTAAAAGAGAGATTTTGAGCTATTAGTAATATATATATATATGAGGTAGAGAAGTGAAATAATCTAAGAATGAATCATACCAGTATATATCTATCTATCATCGTGTTATATAGAAACTTAATTACTTATATATATTATAGATATGTATTTACTTATCTTGTAAGGTGTATTATAAATTATAATTTGTGATTATAGACTATAGTTTTATTAACTGATCACATGTTCTTCACTCTGATGGCTTTTTTTGTAAAAGAATCTTTTACTTTGCTCATAAGTCAAAGATCTACATTTCAAAGTTTAACCCCTGTTTCAAGAACTAGATATGATGTATGAAAAATTGTCATTCACATTTAGGAGTTGACATCATTGATGATACTTATGCCTGTGTTATTTGACATGTCTTATCTGATCTGACACTAATAGTAATATTAACACTACTGATGCCTGTGTTATTTGACCCCTGTTTTACTCAGTTAGTAGATAAAACTATATAGTATATAAAACAACACTACTAATGCCTGTGTTATTTGAAATCTAGATTTGTCAAGAGTAAATTTCTTAAATAGATCACTGAAATTGTCATTTACAGTTGGACAATATAAACAGTGCTAATGCCTGTGTTGTAAACGGTACTAATGCCTGTGTTATTTGACCCCCGTTAAGAGTCAACATGTCAGTAGATAATAGTGACTAGGTTTAAATTGTAAGAAAGATTGACCAGTAAGGTTAATTCTTAGATCAACACTAACCACTTTTATTCTTAACTTGTTTTTCACTGTTCTTTCCATGTGTATCTGAAACCATGATAGACTTTACTGTCAATGTCATGAATACAGAATGCAGGGCCTTTATTGGATTGCACACAAGAAAATACAGCCAATCAGAGGCCTTGACAGAAAGTCTATAAACCATAAGTCTTTCCATCGAGGGCTTTGATTGGCTGTATTCTCTTGCATACAGTTCAATCAAATTGCTGCATCTTTGATACTGTGATACAAGAAAGGTGGCTATTGAAGTCAAGGTATATGCAGCAGTTCATAATAACTTGACATTTTGAAGATGGTTTACTGATCAACTTTTGAAGTATATGTGTTTATTTGTATCTTTCAGGCGTTTTCTCCATGTCGATTGTTTGTTTTAGCAGCTAAAGTGCCTTCAAAGGTAAGTGCAGTGTTTTCTTAACCCTTTTACTCTGATATACCAACATTTCATGACTTTAAACTTGGGGTCGTCAGGTTGTCTTGCTGTCATAGGTTAGGATTTGACGCCCACGATTAAAGTTTCTCATGTAACAACTCATTCTTGGTGTTTGAAAAAAAATACAAACAAAGCCTTCGATCTAATTAGACAGACAAGAAATCATCCCTAATTTAAAAATGAGTTCTTCCAATCATACATATACAGCTGCATATTGATAGAAAGTATGCATGTGTGGAAGAGTTCAATAGAATGATGGGGGTGTCAAGTTGATGACTGGCACACTTGATCTAGTCTTGTCAGCAAATATTCTGGTCACAAAAATCCTCAACCAATCATTGCATCAAGGGGAAGAAATAAAAACTCATAATGCATTTGTGATATCAGGATGGGGATTAATTTTTACCAACAGAGAAATTTGTCTTCTATCTTGACCTAGTTTTAAAGAGTTTGAATAATTGAGTCGACTTCCTTCTATGTTAAAATTAAAATTTCTTAGTATTACACTTCCATAATTCAACGAAATAAATTGAGTATTTTTATATTATCTTATATTTCCTTCCTATTTGTTTGTTATAATTCTATTTTTCCTTGTTAATACAACCTAATCATAATGAGAAAACCTACTGTACTAATCCCAATTACAAGTCAAAGTTCAAATAAATCATTAGATCAAAGTAAGATAATTCCAACAGACATGAAAATAGCTATCTTGGACTAATGATGGAAATGAATGACAAACCAAGAGTCTGCAGAAACAGTGAGCACTTTCTGCCAAGTGCTGTGCACAAATAATAATTTTTATTTCTCCTGATCTTGTATCAGGTCACTAAACAGCAGATATTGGCACCATTGCAATATTTAAAGTCATTACTAGTATTATTCTAGAATGATATAGTTTATTTTGTTTTTATCAATAATAATATATTTATCTTCTATAATTTCAGCTAGAACATACCTTTCACTATTTAGATATTCAAGCAATAGAAAGTAAAAAACCAAATCAGGTACATTTAACTCTTTGTTAACTCTTTGTTAACTCTTTGAACACTGAATGTAAATGAAATATAACGTCATATACCCTGAACTCTAAGTAATAAAAGTAAAAGCGTATGATGTTAACGTTGTATGATGTCACTTAGTTACGAACGGTATATCAACTGCTCAGGTATATATGGCCATAAAACTTTTTACCTTGTCCAGTAAATTTCGACAAACTGGAGTTACCCCACAAGACACAAAATCTGTACCAGGCCAGACAGGTACCTATCTAGATACACGTATATTCAGGAACACGAACAGCATGAATATTGTTCAGCACAACGTGGCTTCTATTTGTTGTTTTTTGTCTCCTATATAATTCTGTTGTTTTTTTGCAGTTACAAATTACAGTAGAAGGAAAGACCTATTCATTTTTATCACAAGAGGCTGAGACAGATGAAATTAATCATATGATTATACATATTGGTGTTTCACTTAAAAATATCTTTCCTTCCTTCCCTCTAGAGTAAGTATTTAGACTGGGGTAGGGAAGTAGGGTGTGGTGGGGCCAGCATCAGACAGACAAGGCCTGGGGTAATGGGGAAGGGACAGAGGCAGTAGAATGGGCCATGAAATAAAGAGGGGGGCTAATTTTAAGTGGATACAGATATGGATGGATATGGAATGGATACATACGAGCACTTATTGGATACTATTTCAGTGTTGCCATTTATTCATTCACTCATTCAATCATTCATTCATTCATTCATTCATTCATTCATTCATTCATTCATTCATTCATTCATTCATTCATTCATTCTCTCATTCATTAATCAATTCATTCATTCATTCACTCCTATATTCGTGAATTGTAGAAGATTAATTGTAAAGATAGATGTACAGCCAGTAGAACGTATAAAGACAATGTATGATATGATAAAGGATATAGAGAGTAAAGAACTGGGACCATGTGGAGGGTTCACAATGATGTATGCTTGTATGTGTGATTACCATTCTCTACCATACAGAGAAGAAGTAGCCTGGGTAAGGATTGTTTAAATCAATTGAAAACCATGGTTTTTACTTTGATTGAAATTAACTTGTTTTAAATATATAGTTTTCACCATGACACATGCATCAGAATTTTTTTTTACCTTGAGGATTCGAACCCACGGCACCTTATTGCATAGCAAATGACAATCCAACTAGCTACTGACGGAACTATTCCACTGTCACAAAAAGACAGTGTTCCAACCAAGCGTTACTGGGAAGTATTGATGTTTACACAGTATAAAAGGTGTTAACCACTTCAAGGAGCTTGGCACGGGTAAGGATTGGTGTTATGGGGTGAGAGCCAATACCAGGCTGACTCTTGAAAGCACTGGTACAGGCATCAGAATTTTTCTTACCTTACCTAAGTCTTATTCCTCAAACTAAACAGAACCAATTAGATTAGATTTATGATTTTATGTTGTTTTTTTGTAGGATGTTGACACTATATATTTATCTCAAGATTCTCGTGAACTTTGTCTCCGTGATTTCGATCATCTCAATTCTAAGTAAGTTGTTTTCTTGCTTTTTTAATACTTATTTGTGAATATTGGGGAGAGCATGTTCTTACCCTCAAGTGAATCTGAAAAAATCTCAGTCAGTTGATAAAACACACCCTGTCCTGAGATAAAAATCATAACAACATAAGACAGCTATTTCTTTGACTATGTGTCTCCTTTCTTTAAGAATTGAATACCAATATATAATGCACACCTCCAGTTTGACGAGCCTGCCGTGTAAAATCTGTGTTCTCTAAGGTTTATGTGTAACAATGTTTTATTTTACAGAGATCTAGTTCCTATTATTGCTGCATTAGAACATAATTCTTGGTTTACTAAGTTTAATGCTAATAATGTTAAATTGGTAAGTCTTTCATATTGTTGATATTATCTCACTTAAACCTTTTTGAAACCTTTTCTTGGTATGTTTAGTGTGAGGACATACTCATCAAATTACCTCCCCTTGGCAATAATATCCAAATAGCTTTGAGGAGATGAATTTTAACCAATCAAATAACCTTTTTTCATACGAGGGTTTGCCTTCATTCACAAAACTATATAGTATTTGTGGTGTTGGAAATCCTTCACATACATTAGGTTACATGAAAATGAATTATTTTACGTATTTTATTTATTTGTTATATATTTACAGTCAGCTGAATGTTGTAATGAAATATTAAAAGTGATGAGACGGAATGCTGTAATAGAAAATCTCAGTCTCAGTAATACAGCTATAACTAAGTACGTTTTTACCCACAATTCATAGATTCGCATAATTAAATTTTGGTTGTATGTTATAGAAGGGCCATTGGGTTGTTAGTCATCATTAAGGCAAAAGCCTGACAAAAAAGACCATGGCAAAAATAATAATTGAATATCATTACCAGATAAACAGGCACAAAAATTCTCATCTTCAAAAGATTCAAATAGAGGTGTCTCTAGCCTTTGTATATGACCAAAGATCAGTAAGAATGTAAATCGAAGACACTTATGGCTTCTATTTCCATCATTCTGATTTCCAGTGAGACGTCTGTGGTTACTGTAATTTCAGAAAAACTTGACCAGATTATGAGGTCACTATCCCATAATGCATCAAAGTCAAAATTGCTTTTGTATAATTGATGAAAACAATATAGTTCTTTTTTGGATTGGAAAAACAACTTAAAAGAGGAAATATTTTTTCTTTCAGAGATTATGTACAGAAATTATCAACAGCTATATTATCTAACTCTGGTACTCAGTTATCAAAATTAGATCTTTCTAACAATTTACTAGATGATAGGGGTAAGTATTAATATAGAGACTCTGGGGGTGGGCTATAGAGACTGTGGGTGGGGCTTTAAGGTAATGCATCAATAGCTAGGGGACTTAGTTATCAAACTTGGATTCTTTCAGATAATATACTCCAGGGGTAATCTAAACATTAACTGAAATTCTCTGCCTCTGTCTCTGCCTCTGCCAAATGAATAATTTTTCAAAAATTTATAAAGATTCTGAAATATTTTCAAAAGAAAGCTGTAAAAATGTAGAGCAAATTCTTGCATTTGAAATGATATTCTGTCTATTTCAGGACTTCACCATCTAGTTGGTACTCTCAGTAATCTGTCTAAAGGTTTAACATCGTTAAATTTATCAAAAACTAATATATCAACGAAAGGTATTAACAAAATAGCGGAGATAATGTCCCAGAGTTCCACGATATCGTCAACGTTACAGACGTTAATATTAGCTGATAATAGTATTAAACCAGATGATTTAACAGTAAGTTTCACTTTTGATTGGTTAATAATTTTATTTAGGATTCAGTTAATATTATTTTTGTATCAACCAACATTTAATTGTGGATTGGTTGGTGAATTTGATGAGGAATAAAGTATCTTGCGTTGAAAAATAGGACCTAAGTTTTTATTGATTAGATTGTACCACCTTTTAAACTGTTATCTTATCAATAAATTAATTCATTTTGTAAATAATGATGTCAAATCTTTGTTTTCTTTCAGTTTTTATACACGTTTTTAGCTCGACCTAATTCTATCAACTATCTAGATCTTTCTAACACAGACTGCTCTATGGATATGGTTAGTTGCTACCTTGGTTTTCATTGCTAATTATAGTCCACTTTACAATCAGCAGATCAGAGATTTGAATTTTCCTATTATAAGTTGCTACTTTAAGGTGAAATGGTTTGGGTATAAATGCTAAGATTAACTGGGGCTGCTAGGCGATTAGGTGCCATGTGTTTAATTGTTGCTCAAGATAGGAATAATTCTGACGTTAAAGCCAGTGTTTTAGAAACTCAACTCAATATTGACTTTCAAACTTTATCCACAAAATGTCTCTGTCAAAAATAAACAACAATACTCTAAAATAGTGAATAGTCCTTGGTTTAGAGAGACCCTCATGACCACTGCCTGCACTATATAGTCCTAATGTCTCTTTGAACAAAACCAATTAGCTAAACTTTGTCAGATTAGGCATTTGGCTTTACTGTTACTTTGTTTTTTTTTCTAGTTATGTGGAGCATTATTAAGAGGATGTACCCAACAGTTAACACATCTTAAATTACCTGGGGTAGTGTTCACTCATAAAAAATCTAAAGATCTGGTCATACCTCAGACATGGAAACAGTTTTTTAACAGTGTGGCTGTTTTAGAACATATAGATTTATCTAATACCAAACTTCCACCTGAACCTCTCAAGTAGGCTTTCTGTTTTCTTTTGCTAAAAAACGGGGTTGGCGCTGGGAAATGCTCACATGCTACAAGTGCTACATGCTTCAACCCCTGCATACATGGAGATATACCTTTGGATTGTCAACCCAGTTTCTCCTGTCATTTGTTTGTTTGTTTGTTTTTTGTTTTATTTATTAAATTAAAATTTTTATTTCATTTTTATTTATTTCATTTTATTTTTATTTATTTTTAGAGAGATGTTGTTGGGTATCAATGCTAACAGACATATAAACAATGTACATCTAGATCTATCTAATAACGAGCTCCAGTCTCAGGGCAGTCAGAATATAGCTGTTACTATTAATAATATTGATAATATTACTAGCTTGGATCTCTCCAACAATGGTACGTTGGTTTTTTTTTATCTTGGCCAGTTTTTAAATCATTCTGAATAGTTCAGATATTTTCTAGATTTTTTTTATGTGTATTTTTCTATTCGCCAGGTTTTGAAGGAAACATTTAAAGGTGTTGTAAAGATGTTCAACTTTTCATATGTATCAGGGACACTGATAGCATCAATTTACATCATTCCAATTTTCAGTCAGACGTCTGTGGTTCCTGCAATTATAGAAATGCTTAATTATGACGTCAATATCACAAAAGCTGCTTAGATTAAAACAATGTTGCTTTCCATTTTCAGGATTTGACCAAGAACTAAGCCATCTACTTCCAGAAATAGCTCAGAATCGTTCTCTACGTCATTTAGCCATTGGTCGAAATTTCTCAGGCATCAAACAAAAGTAAGAGTTTTTTTTATAATATAAAGGATTATCACATTTTTTGGCAATTTTAGAACATATTTGTACCATAGTAGGACACTTCTATTTCCTCTTCTGTCTGTCCAACATCCATATTTTCAAGATACTTGTTTCCATTTTTTAAAACGTATTATATATATGTGTATTTTGTGTTTGTATGGTGTCAGGTCAGTTTGACTGGATATTTTGTTGACATCTCTGAGTATTGTATTATATTTAACGTGTTTATTATTTGTAGATATCAGCTACGTATATTAGACCATGTTGTACAGTTAATACAAGATGATGATTCGGTTAGTATTAATGTATATTTCTGTGTAAAGGGGCATTTTTTTTACACTTAAAAAGGCTTGCCAACTGTTTGTGTTCCAGATACACATTAAGTTTCTGCATTTACTGCATCATTGCTGATCTCTCCTTCAGTAAACTTCACCATATTAATGTTATATAATAGGATTGAAGAGTTGTGAAGCTTTGTTATTATATTAAATTGACATTGTTTATAATCTATGTTTCAGGCCTTACAGTCTCTATCACTAGCTGATTCTAAACTAAAAGCTGATACAGCGTATGTTGTTAACTCTCTAGGTAGTAATAGTTCACTAAGAGAAATAGATTTAAGGTCAGTAACCTGTTTATTCTTGTTTATTCTTGTTTATTCTTGTTTATTCTTGTTTATTCTGATGCTAGTGGCTAACAATGGCAATATGAATAATCTCTTAGAAGTTGTTTCTGTGAAATCATTAATTTTTGTATAGGTGCTATTTATTTTGTGTGTGCTAATAGCTTTAATTCTTGAGAAACTTATTATCTTTGCTTAAAGTCCATGTCTTGACCAGCTGGTCGACAGGATTGGATAGAATCTCTGTTGTAATCCATGTTAAATCATTGTCAAGAGGTTTGGTCAAGGACCAACTGGAAGACAGTTTTCGACAGTGTAATATATAAATATTTGTTCTATTTTCTAGTGGGAATCTAATGGGTGATATTGGAGCTAGAATGTTAGCTAAAGCCTTACAAATTAATACTCATATGCAAACCATATTATGGGATAGAAATAATACGACAGCTCAGGGATTTGAAGATATAGCAGATGCTTTAGAGAAGTAAGTTGTTATTGAAATTGTAGTTTTGTTAAAATATTTTGTATGGATTTGAGTATAGTAACAATGAATCGAGATCCAAGCTAGCTCCAATCCAAACTTCAATTTTTAATGTTCAATGGAAACAAGGTCAACCATTGCCTATGACCAATATGATTATTCATTGAATGTTTGAAAGCTCTTGATTTTAATCTCGAATTGTCTAATTTTTTAAACCTGGTTTTTTAGGATTTGCTTTGTTTTCCAAATTTACGCCTATATATTTTCACTTTTTCTATCCCCAGAAATTATACGTTAAAGAAGATGCCTTTCCCAGTAAATGATGCAGCATTGGCCATGAAATCAGAACCAGCGAGAACAGAGACAGCCTTACAGAAGGTTAGTTCAACTATTTTATTAAAAATAAATTAGTCTTAAACATTAATCAAATTTCACATAATTTTAAAGTTGTGGAATGAGAAAATAAGCAGTTAAAATATAAAATTCAGTCTTGACATAGAATGATAAGTAGGAAGTCACTGTAGTTAAGCAAATTATGTTGTTGCCAGAGTTTTGATACTTGTTTAAATTGGCTACGAACGAAACCTAACTGCCCAATGTATAATCCCAAAATGGTCGGCAATAATGTACAGAGAATTCCCGTTTAAAATCAAGGTTAGGTTATATATTTGTTGGTTTCTGTTTCAGATTGAATCATTGTTACAGAGAAATCACAACCCACGTAAATTCTCTAACGACCAGGCCTACAGACTACAACAAGGTTTTCTTATTAGCTCTACCCAACAGGTTCGTATTTACTTTACTTTATAAAATCAGAATTTGGAACTGATATGAGCTGTCCTTTAGAGAAGGGAATGTCTAAAAAGACCACAAGCTACATTCAAATACAAACATTTCTGCTGTATTGGTTTGTGGTCTGAGTCCCACCAGGATATATCGTGACATCATCGTTAACCTCTGCCGGTAAGAATGTTAGTATGTAAGGTAATAAGTAATCAAATTTTTGTGTTTTGTAGATGGTGGATAGACTGGTTGTTCAAGTACAAGATACTATCAACGCCTTGAATTTCGGCCCTAACGAAGCGTTTAAACCAGATATAGAAGAAGCTAATCAGGTTGTTCAAGATGCTGATAATTCTAAACAGGTGAGGAAGGACAAATCACCCCTCATTTTCTATTGAACTCTTCCACACATGCAAACTGCCTAGCAATATAATACTGTGTTTGTGTATAATTGGAAGAGCTAATTTGTACGATTAGGGGTGTCTTTGTTGCCTGGATAATCATATCTGGATGTTTTGAATTCAACTGCAACTGTTCTCTACCTGATTGGAAATTAAATTTTGTTTGTGGTGTTTTTCAGTTGTTACCAAGGTTACAAGAAATAGCGATCAAGTCTCAAGGTTCTGGGAATCCTGTAGAACATTCTCTACAACAAATAGCAGATGAACTACGACAAGTCATGGACAAACAAATGAAGGTATTTTGTCTAAGTTTATAATATTATATTCAGATTCTTATACTATAGACAGTTATTAAGAGAAAAGAAAGAAATGAGTAGTATATCAATAGTCTTCTTATTTATTTAATGTTATTAAGAGTACTTTTGTAAAAATTCAAATGAAATTAGCAAGCTAATAAAAATCTTACAATAATTGTTATTTGAAAAGCATTGATATTGACCAATTTATTCATTTTGTGTATTAAACCATTGATTATTAACAAGTTAAATGTTTTTGTCTTTCAGAAAAGTGTGGAGGACATGTTGAAATGTACAAGTTCCCACTGTTCAGCTGTCATGTCAGATAAAGTGAGCATTATTTTTTTTCATTGATATTGTCAAGGTGATTTTGATTACGTTGTACAGTTACTTGTAAAGGTGTTAAACAGTTTAAAATAGATTGTATTTGGTGCTTTCATCTTTAATTTTTACAGTGTGCTTGTGATTTCTTCATTTCTAAGACGAAGGTAATCTTTAATCTTGGTTCCTGTTTTTATTACAGACATTCCAATGTGAGCTACAAGAGGGGTGTGATTCGAAAAGTTCTATATCTAAAGATTTCACCAAACATATGTTAGATGGTGTAGGGAATGATGTTTATAATAAACTAAGGTAGGTCGAGAAATTTTATCGGAACTGAATTTCAATTTAAACTAACCAGTGAAGCAAAAACTGTTTCAGGCTCTCTTGTGGGTGTATGTTAATAAACTGGCAAATTATTCAGCGGTTTGGATCATTAGGGGTTTTTTTTAGACTAGATGGTTTCTTCAAAATATTGAGGGGATGGAACATTGTAAATTGTGTTAAATTAATCTAGATGTACTATATTGTTCAAACATTATTGGTGCCATATCAGAAAACATGTATAGGCTCTCCAGTTCACATCAAAAGATATAAAAAACAACGGAAAGAATGTTAAAAGTTTATGATATTTTGTTAATATATCTATATTACAGTGAATTAAACCTGGCAGTAGCAGCTCATATATCAGACAGTGTTATAGATCAGGTTATAGACGTACTATCTAAATCACATCGTACTCTGGTAGGTTTTATTTCATATTATTCTTTTAAACAGCTAAGAGACCCCTGTGTGCTAAGAGACCCCTGTGTGCTAAGAGACCTCTGTGTGCTAAGAGACCCCTGTGTGCTAAGAGACCCCTGTGTGCTAAGAGACCCCTGTGTGCTAAGAGACCCCTGTGTGCTAAGAGACCCCTGTGTGGTAAGATACCCCTGTGTGCTAAGAGACCTCTGTGTGCTAAGAGACCCCTGTGTGCTAAGAGACCCCTGTGTGCTAAGATACCCCTGTGTGCTAAGGGACCTCTGTGTGCTAAGAGACCCCTTGTGTGCTAAGAGACCTCTGTGTGCTAAGAGACCCCTGTGTGCTAAGAGACCTCTGTGTGCTAAGAGACCTCTGTGTGCTAAGAGACCCCTGTGTGCTAAGAGACCCCTGTGTGCTAAGAGACCCCTGTGTGCTAAGAGCCCCCTGTGTGCTAAGAGACCCCTGTGTGCTAAGAGATCCCTGTGTGCTAAGAGACCCCTGTGTGCTAAGAGACCCCTGTGTGCTAAGAGACCCCTGTGTGCTAAGAGACCCCTGTGTGCTAAGAGACCCCTGTGTGCTAAGAGACCCTTGTGTGCTAAGAGACCCCTGTGTGCTAAGAGACCCCTGTGTGCTAAGAGACCCCTGTGTGCTAAGAGACCTCTGTGTGCTAAGGGCTGTGCACATGAAACATCCATTTGACAGTTGGAAATTGAAAAAGAGTAAGAATTTTGAGATGGTGAATCATCCAATCACCTTGAAATTATTTTTGCGTCTTATCTTATTACCGTGTGTATTTTAGACGAATCACCTGAATCTAAGAAAGAGTGGCCATTATAAAGAAATGGTACGAGAAGAGAAAGTAGATACAGAGAAAGAGAAGAAAGCCTCGCGGGAATCACTAGAGATAGAACTGGATAATAAATCTTCCTCAGGGGTGAGTTGATATCTTTATCAGAGATTGCTTTTTGTGTGGTTTTGGTACTAACTGATTTATGTATTTGTTGAAAAATGGTTTGAGTAAGGATTTTTGGATGTTTCTAATGCTTTTTTTTTTTTTTTTTTTCGGAACTTTCTGATTTATTTCCTCATTGAAAAATGAATGGGCAAAGGCTTATCTAAAATTAATAATGCTTTTTATTTGGTTTTGGAATTAACGCGTATCGGTATTGATTAATGTTAGAAAAAACTTAGAGTTTATGATTAAAATTTAGTTTTTTGAAGGAAATTTAGTTATATCTTGTAGAAAGAGAAGCTATAGAATTTTGATATATTATTTGTAGACCTTTTGTTCCAAAACGTATCTTTTAAGTGCAAATTTTGGACAAAATGCCGCCATTTTAGACAATTTTACTTATCTATTAAGGGTGTGGCTTTATACTAACATTTAAACTAGTTCTTTAAATTGGTTTCCTTTGCGTTAGTTTTGGTACTAAAATACTAAAAGAGTATCTGTGGTAATTTGACATCTCTTGAAAGCTACAAAGTAAACCATTGATGTATTTCAAAAAACTTTTTCTAATTTCTGGTGGTGTGATCATTTTTATATTTTTTCTTTCTATTTAACAAATATCAATAATAATATTATTTCATTACTTCAAAACTAAAAAATATTTTAAAAATTCTCACAAAAAGTTTTTAATTATAATAATAAGTTTTAAAATGCTAAAAAAGTCTTAATTTATGCGCATATATTAGCATGTAGTTATATTCTACTGGCTGAATTATTACCTAGCTTTTTGTGTTCTACTATATGATTTATAATCTTGCATGATTTTTCAGCCGTTTTTCTTGGAACCACCCTCAGACCCTGTGAGTATAAAAACAGCTCGTTTCTGCTCATCTTCATCTCTGAAAGGTGAACGAGTCAGTTTTCACGTGCAACCCTTGATCTTCAGACCAATGTTTTCATCATTGATTTCATTGGATCAGGATTTAGTTAGATATTAATGATTTTAATAAAATGTAGCAAAAAAATTTTTCCGTGACATAATCATAGGGGTCTATAAAATGACAAGAATATTAACTTGCTGAATCAAGGGTAAAAGTAGAAACTGACTCAAACACCTTTATGATATCAAGATGGCTTTTGCTTAGCTTTTTATTTACCTTTGTAGTCCTTGTTCAGTATTTAAGCATAGCTTTATGTCATGATAGGGAACTATTAAGAAGTTTAGCCAAGGACCAGATGGTAAACAAGATTCTTGATAACTTAAGTTATTATCTTCTGAAATAAGGTTGTTTCATTTCTTAATTTCCAATCTTTTAAAGCTATCTTGAACCAGTTTTTGTCACTTGTGCTCTTCTGCTCATCATGTTTATTCATATTCTTGCTTTTTTGCAGGACTCTCCAAAACTATCGCATAAACGAAAGAGTTTGTATGGCAGAAAACTACGCCCTCAGTCAGTGATCGGTAAGTTTTATAATAATTTGTTAGCTTGATGTGGCTCATTTCAAAAACTAAAATTTCATTGAATCCAAATTCTGATGTGTGAAATGCAAATTACTAAAATTGATATTAGCAAATATTGAAATTCAGTTTTTGCATCTTGATCAGAAATATCATTTGCACTGAATGAAAAACTAATTGGATTGTCGTAAATTTTGCAGCCTTATTCTTGAAAACTTATCTTAATTATCCAAATTTTATAAAATACTCTAATCTGATTGGTTGAAAAAGTAAATAATTGACAAATCAGATGAATGGAATTGAAAATCTCCAAACTTATGAATCAGTTTTCAAGACTATAGCTTCAGAATTGATAAAGAAAAAAGCGTGATGCAAATAATATCATTGCACTTTGCAAGTTTCATAATAATAATTCATTAGATCATTACTAAATTTGAAATTTAGGCTACTCAAAGCTGTTTGCATCTTGAAAGTTGTTGAAAAATATCAACATGAAAGGGTTAGTGCAAAAATTGTAAAATGTTGTATTTAGAAAATTCACAGTAAAGCTACTAAATTTATATTAATATACGAGATAAATAATGTCCGGTTTTACAAAAGTATGAATCAATAATCATGAACACAAAGTGCTTAAAAACAACTTGCAGGATTGTTGATACAAATACTGAGAAATTTTACGCTGTTTTTCAGCTCAACATTTAATGTTTATTGACCAAAATCACACAAAAGTCCTATCTGAATTTATGTGAAAATTTAAAGGGACTGTAGAGAGTAGAGAAGTTTTTTAAATTTTGTATGTCTATTGACGACATTGATAGCTTCAATATGCACCATTCCAATTTTCATTCTGACATCTGGGGTTCCTGCAATTCCACAGTTTTATGACGTCACTTATCGCGAAGGGTTTTATGTGATAAGCATAATTATATTGCGATTAGTGATGTCATAAAATACTTAGTTTAAGTGGAATTGCAGGAACCACTGACGCCTAATTGATGGTGCAAATTGATGCTAACAGTGTCCCTGATACACGTATCAAATTTAGAAAACCTCGTTACAATCCCTTTAACTGTTCATGCAGTATTTTAGACCAAAACCAGACCAATAGTTTAGAAATTTGGGATCATTTTGGGTATGAAACCTTAATCAATGATGTAAATATTAACAGTATGATGTTTGTTATTTTAAGATGAACTAGGTTATAGGTTTGATGCGTCCAACCCAATGATGTGTAGAAACAGTGGTATGTCAATGATAAAATACGATAAAATTATTAATTTAGATATAGCTTTTCACTTACCCTGATCTGTAGTGATTCAACTATTCTATATTTTAGTTTGATATTTTATTGCGAACTTAACTTATCCTATATTATCTCCCTTTCCTACGTTTGTTTTGACGTTATACCATGTTTATGCACATTAAGAAATATTCGAAACATAAATGAGAAAAGTTTACTGTGTTTTGAGGTAGAATAAATGATCATTGAAACTAAACAAGTCAGACTTATTTATGATCGATTGGAGAGTTCTACACCTTGGAATCATTTGGACATTTAATAAAACAAGTTATAACTGAGTTCAGAACACGTTCCACTTGTGCTGAAAAAATAGTAGGTGCAGACAGATTTCAAACTTGCCGAGAAAGGAAAAGATTTGAAATGTTCAATTGAGGCCAGAATTCGAACAAACAGAACCTGTTTTGAACTCACCAATCATAGGGTAGGTGTCTGCCTTTTTATTTGTGGCACAAGAACAGTGTGTCACTTAGTAGAGTTTGCTGATATAAATCAAACATTACTTTTTCTACCTTAAAATATAGAAGATTGTTTACGTTGAAGTTTTGAATCTTTCCTCAATGTGCACAAATATTTTATGGTCATTTCCACTCAGAGAATGCTCACTCTGTTTCTACAGGAATGTCAGCACCCATTTACATACTTCTGTTACATGAAACCTCTGGGGCAGGGGTGGAATCTGAGGGTAGAAAAGGGGTTTAATATTCAAGACAATTTTTGTAGGTTTCTTTCTGGATGAAGGCAATATCATTTTCAAAATTTGGTTCATTATTTTTCTGTCCCAAAGTTGGTATCTTTGAATTCAAGGGGAGGAGATTGGTAAATTACATCTTTAGTTGTAGGGAACAATAGGTTGCTGTTTTCTCTAAAATTTTGATTAGAAACTCCAGAGGGGCCAAATCAAATCATAACATTTAATTTAAACTTTTAATAATAGCCTGCATTTAGTATATCCACTACAGTAGAGTAGACATGGCCATATAAGGACATACAGTAACTAGATTATCCCTTAATCCCATTAATCTGGGTTATGGAGGTCATTTGTGGACCCCATTACCAAATAAGGAGTCAGAAGTTGATATAAACTTAAGGTTAGTTGGCCTACTTTTAGAAGAGTATTGAGAAAAAATGTTATCAGTTTGAGATTGAGCAGCGAAAAGCATTTTATTTTTACGAGTTTTGTATGTAATATTTGCTAAGACTTCCAAGACTTTTTGTTTTGATTTCAAGTAATGTTAGTATGAGTTTTCAAGTAATGTTTTGTCTGGAATTTCCAAGTAATCTTTCAACAAGATTTCCATGTAATCTTATGTCAAGTTTTCTAAGTAATCTTTTGTCAATATTTCCAAGTAATCTTTTTTCAAGATTTCCTAGTAATGATGATATGAGTTTCCAAGCAATATTTTTAAAGATTTCCTTTTGATATTTTTCCAGAATTAGCAAATTATATATGTCTGGAATTTTTAAATTATCTTTGCCAGGATTTGCAAGTAAATTTAGTCAGGATTTCTAAATATCATTTGTTCAGATATCCAAGAAAATTTCCAAGTAATCTTTGCGTGAATTTTTATGTAATGATATAGGTACAGGTAGAAGTTTTTATGAGACTAATTACAGGGTGATTGGGGTCATTAGTCTATTAATACTGTAATGAGGTTATGTATAGCTGTTTAATTATCTTGTTCTATATTGATATGGGCTAGGCATAGAGTGGATGGCTGGGTTCGAGACATTAAACAGGACTGATATGGGATATGATATGACATATAAAAGTGAATTTTGTAGCAGGATATAGATAGACAAGGAAAATATTACAAATGTGATACCTTCATTGTGCAGAGTAGAATATTAACATGGCAAAATAATTTAGAATCTAAAGTACGGTAGACTGTTTTAAAATGTTTCCAGTGTATGGATTGTGTCTTTGGTGGGGATAATGGTGTTTGTTTTATTTGTGATTTAAATCAAGATCTTTAAGAACCAATGGAAACACTCTGGAGATTGGTTGACTTTTAAATTTTTGTCTACATGTGGATTTATATACAGTGAAATGGCTAGGTTTTGCCAAGTTATGGAGTTTATTAAATGGCAAACGTGTCTATTATTTTTGTGATTAAAAATAATTTTCAGTAAATTATCGTTGCGAATTGGATTGTAGATTTCTGTTATATTTTGTGTTATTATGGATTGTGTATTTTGGATAGATGGTTTGGGTAGGTAGCTCTTGGTGATAGGTCATCTGTTTTATACCAGAATTATTAGTATTAGACTGTTGGGAATCTAGTTCCCCTTGTGAGATTTTCTTTGTTATTCATCATTTAAGGGATTGTAAAGAGGTTGTCTAAATCTTTTATATGTATCAGGGACACTGATAGCATCAATTTGTACCATTCCAATTTTCAATCAGATGTCTGTGGTTCCTGCAATTCCACTAAAACTAAGCCTTTTATGACGTCACTAATTTCAAAGGACCTTACGTTATAAGCATATTTTATGATTAGTGACATCATCAAACACTTAGTTTTAGTTGAATTGCAGGAACCACAGACATCTGATTGAAAATTGGAATGGTGTAAATGGATGCTATCAGTGTCCCCGATACACATAAAAATGAGAAAAACTCTTTACAATCCCTTTAATGAAGAATTTCTAAGGTACCAATTCAGAAAGTAGAAACTGTAAAAATGAACTTTAAGAGATAAGATTACTGAAAGAAGTTAAATATTAATTTTTCTTTTTTGCAGCAGTGTTCTTATAGTGACTTAGTGCCTTGATATAATGCTTACCTAAGCGATATTTTGTAGATTTAATATTTTGTGCTTAACTTAATATCCTTCTTAGATAAAGATCAAGTTAAAAAAGCATTGAAAATGTGTGAAATTGAGGTGGATAAGAAAGCAGAGGAGTCCGAAATTCCCTCGCAGATTCAGGAAGGTAGAAAATCTAATACGGAATGCTTGTTATTCGGATATTTGTCATGTTTGTATTTCGCTTTTTTGTTATTTTTATATTCTAATTTCTAACTTCACAGTAGTAGTAACAAGTTATATTTATTATTTATTTATTTATGTTGTTTCTAACATTATTATGAATGTCAAGCCTAATTTTACAATCTTTCTTAACTGTACACTCCAATGTGTTGTCTTTACTTCAAGTTTTTCAAAAATGCAGCAGATAATTGAAGGATTAAATGTCCATTTTGTTTCCCGTTTAGAAAGGAAATTCAGGCTTGTATTTATGTCACGCTGCTGAATTATGGGTTTAAACGGATGGACTTGTAAATGATAAAATCAGGCTTGACATTAACTTATTTTAACTTTTTTATCTTTTTTTAGTTCAATTCATTTTAGCTTTCTAACGTTCATAAGCCTTTTGACCAAACAACGCACCAAGTAATTTTGGACTCATTCAAAGTTTGGTTTATTACATTTAAAACATAAGTGAACATTTGAAAATCTAAACTAATATGAGCGAAATTATTTGGTGCTTTCAGCTTCATAACTTCTTTATTGTTTACATATTTATTCTTAACAATTTGGTTTTTGTAACGTTTTTTTTTTGTCCATGGTAGTTAGTTTGTTTCTCATATTTAGATGTTTTTTAAAAATTTATTTCATAGGTGATCTTTGGTGACTTGATTATTGTTGTCCGCATGATGAAATGAATGATAGATTTCTAGATGAAAATATAGTTAACAAGTTTTAAACATTCTATAATGCCAGTATTTTTCTTCAGGGAGGGAAGGTAGCGAAGGGTGGAATATTTCTCATTTCCTCAGCATGATACGTTAGCATGGATATCTTGTCTTTGTATGACTTTCTAAACAATAACTACAATATTTGTAGTACTTATTCTAATATTACTTTCATTTCAATTCATTTTCATAATCTTTAAGGAATGAATTATAATGTAAATAGTTGGTACTAATAATTTGTTTACAAATTGCTGTACCAGTTTGTTTACAAATTGCTGTACCAGTTTGTTTACAAATTGCTGTACCAGTTTGTTTATAAATTGCTGTACCAGTTTGTTTACTAATAGATGTACCAGTTTGTTTACAAATTGCTGCACCACTTTGTTTACTAATAGATGTACCAGTTTGTTTACAAATTGCTGTACCAGTTTGTTTACAAAATATTGTTCTAGTTTTTTTGTACTCTTTGAGTGATAAAATTAGCTCAGTAATTTTTGGATGAACTTTAATAATGAAAATAGACAGGTCATAGTCATTTCACAAGCATGTAGTCAATGATTATGTTAACGAGGATTAATTAGGTCAGGTCTAATTAATCGATATTGATTTAAAGATTGACAGATATTGATCACTGATATTTGATTATTATATTTAATTATTAAATACATAGTTTATGTGAATGTATTTATCTGTTTCACAATCTATAAGTTAAAGGTATAGGTTCGCCGTCCGTTTGACCAATCATAGCTTAGCTAAGCCAATCAGTAATAGTGTTCACAGATCATCGTCAAAATTTTAGCCTTCAAAACCATGTGTGTCCAGAATTATCCGCGTTTTAATGTTAAAATGACCAACTGGTTTTTTAGAGACTCTGTCCTATATATAAAAGACATATTATAGTAATAGAAAGTAAAATTCCTAGTTTGAAGGGTTTATTTTTATTTCTCCAGATAACCAATAGTTTTAAAACTCTAACTATTTTTTCTTTCATTGACAAACTCTTTGTTTTTCATCAAAATTGTTCAAATTTTTGTAAGCTGCCGACCGTGCTTCAGCTTGTAACAACACAAAAAGCTGCACCTAAATTTTATATTTGTCCATTCATCCAATAGCTAAATTAATTTATCCTAATTTTCATTGAAATTACAAAAAGGATACCCAGAGCTTCATCATTTGAGCCACAAAAGTTTTATAAAATTCTAAATGAAACAAGATGTCAATGCTTATTGATATTTGATAAATTGGATGCATGTGCATGCTTGTCTTTGACACAGTTTATAACTTGTCCTGTTTCATTGCCTTGTCTATATTTCAGAATTATAAACACAGATAATAAATGTTTACCCCCTACAAGTACACTCAATGTTAAATTCATTGTTTATCATTCTGTTTGTAAATTGTTTATTTTAATTTTTATTTTTATTTTTGAGGGTTTTTTTCATTCTTTCTTGGGGTTCGCAATCATACATCTTGTTATATTTTCACTGTTTTCAATTTATTTGATTACCATTTTATTTTCCTTAAATTAAATTATTACCATTTCATCTTCATATTATAAACTAATTAGTTGATATATTTAATTTTTTCATGTTAACTATTTTAATATTTTTCTGAGCAAATTTCAGATTGAAAGTCTGAATCCATCTAAATTGTAGCCGAGATACAAATACGTAACTTGTCTTGTATGAATTGTTCACTATTCTAAATTGGCATGTAAAATGTTGATATATTACTATATGATTACACTAATAGGCATTCAGAAATGAAATGAAATAAGAGTTTTATGTCAATAGGCATTAAGAAATGAAATGAAATAAGAGTTTTATGTCAATAGGCATTAAGAAATGAAATGAAATAAGAGTTTTACATCAATAGGCACTAAGAAATGAAATGAAATAAGAGTTTTACGTCAATAGGCACTAAGAAATGAAATGAAATAAGAGTTTTATGTCAATAGGCACTAAGAAATCTTGGAATCATTATTAAAATGTTCATGCCTTGCCCCTAGTCATCACTCATCACCTTATTCAGAAAGTTTCCATATTGATAGAATCTCTCTTTAATTTCAGTGGATGAAGTTGATCTAAGTTTTGAGAAATTAGACAGTTTAGATGAATCAACAGAGAAAATCAAAAGTTTAGGTAAGATTATATGATATAAAAGATAGACTATTGATTCGAGAAAGCGTTGCGTTCCTTTCAGAGTTGTCTCAACATTTTTCTCCAGTCTGAACATCTGGAAACGTGGGTGGGTGGGTGCTGAGACCTTAAAAACAAGTTTCATGGAATTTTGAAGTTTTACAAATTCCTAGTAGGATTAATATTACAATAATGGCTATGGGGTATTAGGGGTGAAAGCCAACACTGGATTGATTGTCGGAAGCACAAGCACAGGCATCAGAATTTTTCGATTCGAACCAACAGCACCTAATCCCTTAGCAGACGGCAATCCAACTGGCTACCGACTGAGCTATTTCATTGAGGGTGGGACTTAGCTGATTGCAAATTTGCAAAAAAAGCTCAGTATTAATTTTGGTGTTTTTTTTGTTTTCAGATTCATCCCCATCTATAAATAACCTTGACGACGGACAGGATGAACCCAAAAATCCTGTTCCTTTACAACATATAGTAAAATCACGACCCAAACGAGCTAAGACACGAGCCCCAACACGACCAGTGGCTCCCACTACAATACATATTGATGAACCTTCAGACGATGGTATAGGAGCGTTTTATGTCCAGCCCACCGTTTCTACTGAACCAATCAGCAACTCTACATCTTCACCTTCACGGAAACTATCAGATTCTTCAAAATCATCCAATCAACTTAAACCAGAAGGGTAAGGGGCCTGGAAATTAATATAAAATTTACCTTGGTGTCTCGGGGGATGACATCCTTGGTCGGAAGATCTAGGGTTCAATCCCTTTATAGGTTGATTAAGATGGAGTTACAACTTTCCGATTTTCATCCTAGTTTGGGGCCTAATCTTAAGTTGATTGGCAATACACCAGGCCATGTATTGTCGAAATCATCTTAGCGCTAGGATGTCCTAGGTTCTTATCTTCTAACATTGATTCTAGGACATCCTAGCGTTAAGATCGTTTCGAGAATACATGGCCAGAGCCAGGTTCCTTTGTGCTTCAAGCTGTGCATGATAATGATTCCTTGACAGTTGGAAATAAAAAATAGAGAAGACTTATGCCACTGTCCTGATAAAATTTTTCTCATTGCACACTGCAGTAGCCTCTCTTTATTACTACAACCAGAAACAGAAAAGATAGGATGTTAAACATTTATTAATGATACAAAACACAAGACAACACTCAAAATTCTTAATACATGAGGATATCAATCACAAATGAGGAAGTATTTCATTATGAAAAGTGGTATCAGGTGTCTAGAAGAGTAAGCTCAGACAGGTAAGCTTGTATCATTTCTTTTTGTATTTAACAGTAAATCAGAGAAGAAGAAAGGCTGGTCTCCACGTAATCTTATCAAGGATAAAGACAAGGATAAGGATAAAGACAAAGAGAAGGAGAAAAAGAGGTTTGTAAGAGTTCATATCAACAGTCAATACCCTTCGAGTTTATCTTACGAGATGGAACAACAAGTGTGGAGTCAGTTCCTCAGTCATTGTTTGAAGGATAGCTGGAACATTGGAACTCATTTTACAATGCAGTAATGCCTTTCATTTCAAGAACTTTGCATTACAAGGGCAATCAAATTTACTGGTATCATAAGAGTAAATTTTCATCAGATGGTTTAACTGTAAGTTTATTCTGAGAGACAGAGCTAAGAACTTTTTATACCAATAAAATACCAATTTACCTAGTAATAATAAAAAAACGAGAATATTTTACTGAACATAAGTAATATTGCTCCCACACGTAATTGAGTTTTTTTAAAGGTATTAGGATGGGTGTGGTTAATGGCCCAAACAAATATGAAATATGTGCAATATTTTGTTTATTAGAATTTCGGTGTTTTATTTTGACAGTGGTGGTATTGCTCATGGTTTATCGACTTTCTTCGGAAGAAAGAGTGGGGGCAAGGGAAACGTACCAGCCAAGGGTAAGAAGGAGCACGAGGCCAAGTCTGAGCCTAAACCAGAACCAGAAGCACCGGTGGTGGAAGAAAAGAAAGCTGAAGATGTTAAGGTTGAGAGAAGTGATGTGAAGGCACCAATCGCTGGAGGAGAAAGTTTTGAAGAAGATAAAAAAGACAGAGAGAAGGAAAAGGAGGAAGGTAAGTTGTTGATCAGTTCAGTCATTTTTCAGATTTTAAATTGATACAGAACAGACTATCATATTTATTTGTTAAAATGAGACTTCCCATCTTAAAGATATTTCGATAATTTATATAAAAATTAGTTGCCTAATGATGCTGTCAAAAGTCTCCCTCCACGCTTCTAGACATTGCAAATACTAGTCAACTTTTTTAAGCTGAAATGTTGGATGTTAAAAGCTCGTTTTTTGGACATTCATTAGCATTTGCATCATTGAGAACACAACTGCCTGTTGTGAAATCAAGATCTTAGTTTTATCACCATTGTGATCTTTGCTGACATTGCCCTTTTTTTAATTTACATCTTTTTTGTTGTAGAAACAGCAGAGGAGAAGTCTGAAAGTAACGACAATGTGGGTCGTCTGGCTGGGGGTAAACCGCGCCCTGGATTTGGAGGGTTGGGCGGTAATATGTTACTAGAAATGAAACAGAAACAAGAAAAACGACTCTCACAGGTTCATAAACCGAGAACTACAGTAAGTCTAACGTTTTATTTTTACAATCCCACAAATATCATTTCAATATCATTCTCTAAAGCTACAGTAGGATATAGTTCATTGAACATCTTTAATTTAAAACAAAAAAACTGTTACTCTCAGCCCTTCACAGTTATATTGAGTTATATTTTGTTTATAAACCCCCTATTGTGTTAAAGATGGGTAAAAATGCTAATACTTATATGAATAGGAAGTAGAGGTGTTCTAATGACTTGGAAAAATATCAGTTTGTCTCACATGTCCATAATTAATTCATAATTAACTAAATTAGAAGAGAATTACCAACAGAATTCCAATGAGTGACAGATCAAGACTTCATCCAATTGTATATACATGGATATTTATGTTTGGTTTAAACTCTTAATTATATACAATAATAACATAATGATATGATTAAGAATACATTTCATAAGAAACACCAATTAATTAAATAGTTTGCTTAATTTGACACTAAAAAATAAGGAAACCCATCTTTAACATAAACATAATTTAATCTAAAGGAATATCCTCTATTACAGCCAGAGAAAGAAAGTCACGAAGCCAACAATAACCACGTTGATAACAAATCAAAAACACCAGAGAAAACAGAAACATCAGTATTAAAATCCACTCCTGATTTACACCCCCCTTCGACCAGTCAGAGAGAAACATCACCAAAACATGTTCTCAGACCACCCACAGAAAATAAAAAACCTTTATCGATCCCAGTTCAACCAGTGCCTACAGATAAAAGTCCCCGCCCCGCACCTCGAGTATTATTACCCCCTAAAAAACAGCCCACCCCTCCAGCTGATAAAGAGGCTACTGTTCAACTTGATAGCAAACGTAAGTATATTTGGGAGGAAGATTTCTTTTTCAATTTCCTAAAAATTATTTTGACCTATGCTCAGACCGAACCTGTATCCTTCAGGTTAGTGAGCAAATGTGTAATTCACTGAGCCACTGCAGTACACTTTGGAAAAGACAACAGTTGTCCGTGGGTCTTATAAAATGTTAAGGAATTCCTATAAAGCAATATAGATGAGAAACTATTGACATTCATTCGCTTTCTGATACTGACCGTCATTCCTTATTTTGTACACCTGGAGATGTCAACTTGGGCATACGCATTCTTATATTATTATGAATTGGCGCTCGATATAAGCCTGAATAAAAGTGTTTTTAAATGAATTTAACATAGAGACAGTCATGAGCTTTGTATCGTGACATCTGATTGTGATTGAAAATTATGATAATAAAATTTGTGATTGATTTTATTTCAGCTACGCCATTAAATAAACCTAAACCTCCACCACCCACCAAACCACGCCCACCCCTCCTCGCCCCTAAACCTCGCACAAGTATCCGTGCTTCAAAAGATGTCACTGACTCATGTAAGTTTTAACAGAATTTTTAGTTTTCATTCTTTTGCATTTAAAACGTTCTTCCGCGTTTGCAAGTTGATTTGCAGAGATTTTATTTGAAAAATTTCTTACATTTTGTGCAATTTTAAAATATGCCACAACTTTGTGCAGAAGTAAGCTTGTCTACCCTCTATATAGAAAACATATTGTTACTCAAGCTCTCTTGCTTTTTTTTGTTTCAGTTGAGCCCCCATCAACAGAAGAAGTAAAACTTCGAGAGAAGAAACCAGACGCTGAAGTCGTGACAGACTCGGCTACATTACGATTATCAGTGAAGGAGAAAATACAACGATTAAGTCGCGGACCAAGTGACGATAGTCCCAGTAAATCAGAATCAGACATTAAATCAGGTGGGTTCTCCTATTAGCTTTAACTTGAGGTAGGGTCGAGCAATGTTATTATATACCAGGGATTGATCAAAACACGACCAGTTCACTTTACTTTCAGTTTTAGGTAGCGTTGCTATATTATAAGGAACCACAGACATCTGACTGAAAATTGGAATGACCCTGAATCACATACAAAAACTAGAAAACCTCTTTTTAACCCCTTGAATTTAATTGATGATTTTGATAAATTGTAAATTTCAAAATTTCAGATGAAAGTGAAAACATATCAAGTTCAACATCTCATGAAAGTATCAATGGAGAAAAATCTACACCCAAATCAACAGAGGAATCGCCAGAGGAATCAAAAACACCTTCAAAATCGAGCGAAGAAACGTCAGCTAGTTCAGATGATAAGGAAAACTCAAAAGATTCTTCAAATTTGCCAAAACGATCATCAAGGGCAGAAGACGAAATTATGGTCTGATTGGATAATTTGTTTTTTTTGTTATTTTGATTATAATTTGAGAACTTAGTTACTGTCATTAATATGCCTTTGAACAGCAAACTTGCATAAATTTAATTTTTGATCTCCATCAAATGATTTTTGTAAAAATTCGTTAACAATTTCATGTAGAAAACATAGAGTGCTGAAAAGTTTCTTGACTGCTAATAAGACATCGTAGAAATCTGTCTATATAGCAGTAGCCAAACTAGCTTTTTTAGATTATATCACAAATTCACATAAAATTCTTAACTTTCTATAAGTGAAGGAAAGACAGAAAAAATATGATCATAAGCTACTGAAGTGTTTCTGAAGAAAGCAATTAGCAGAAACGTTAACCAACAGGACAATAGTATTAGCTTTTTGTTCAAAAAGGAACATGCTAAGGTCTCATTAAAAAGCCCACATACAAAAAAGGATCACAATTATTTCAAATTCAAATGGCCATAAATATAATAAAATTTTTAGGGGCCAACTTGATAAAGGACACAATAAATTTACGGACATCAAATAAACAATATTTAGAATAATTTAGTTTACCATTTACTTTTATTAATTATTGTAACACAATTTTTATAGAATTTTACTCCTTGTTCAATAAAACAACGTTTCAACAATTTACATTAGTAGGCTACTTCTCTTGTGTTTAAGTGCATACAATGTTTCAACAATTTACATTGTCATCATCAGTTTATATGGTATACTACTCCTGAGTGTTATTGTATACAATGTTTCAACAATTTACATTGTCATCATCAGTTTATATGGTATACTACACCTGAGTTTTATTGTATACAATGTTTCAACAATTTACATTATCATCATCATCAATTTATATGGTATACTACTTCTGAGTTTATTTGTACACAATTTTTCAACAATTTACATTCTCATTATAATATTTCATAAATTGTACATTTTTTGAAATATATTTAAGTTTTCTTATTTTGATTTTTGATAAAGGAATTATTTGCATGTGTTTTAAAAAGCAATCAGGATCATAATTAGCTTATAGTTGTCCAAAGAAATTAGGCTTCCAATTTCAACTATTTATAGTTCTAGTTCCTGCTGATTTTTCAGATTTTTTTGTTAATTTTGATATTTTTTAATGCATAATGTTTTATATTACCCATTTTCTTGATTTTGTTGTTTTTAAAAATGAGAAGAACACATAAAAAATTAGAAATAAAAGCCTTTAAGCACACTTGAACTCCTTTGAACATTTATTACGATTCTTCCGATTTCTATCCTGAATATTTCTTTAAAAATTGACAACTACCAAAACAAATTCTTACAAAATTATGCATCTTTTTTAATAAAATATTTATTTCAAAAGAACTTTTTTTTATTTCAACTTAATGTATTTATTTTGTTTTGTTTTTTTTGCAATAAAGTGAAGAAAAGGGGTAACTAGTAGCTCAGTATAATATTTGTAATAAAAGTGTAAATTTTTGTAGATAAATATGTAAATTTGAGACTTATATAATCTTGCCTTATATACTATATTATAATATGAATATTGTTTTGCCTTATTTTGATATATTTCTGACTTATTTGTGAAGCTGTGTTCAAAGTCACCTTTATTATGATCTGCTATTGTTGGTGCAAAGACTTTAATAACTGGAATATCAAAGCTTTATATTCATATTTTTAATTATAATGTCATAATTTGAATTGCTCCTAGAAATTTCAACCTTGATTAAAAATTTGAAGCTGAAATTTGACATTAGGAATTGGATATGGTATTTTTGTCTGAAGATGCGTTACATGAATAGTTGTAACTTCCTATAATGGAGTTAAAAACAAAATTCAGGAAACAGAAAATTCATATAGTGTATACATGGGTCATGGACTCTTTTGGAAGTTCCTGTGTCCTACAGGGTAGCCCAAACGTCTGAGAATCTGTCGGACATCGGTCAATGTCGGTCAAAATGCAAAAATGTTACATTCAACTCAGACTTTTATGAATTTGAAGCAACTTTTCTTTATAATAAGCTCTGGTAGTGTGTAATTTTTTGCTAAAATTTATTTTATTTTGTATTAAGATTTTGTATTTTCTTTGTTTGTGCTCAAGTTTCTCTCTAGTCAGACTGAGAGTATTCAAAAATAAATTTTCAAGAAGTCGTGATTTTTGCAGGGGTTAAATATTTAGCTTTCTTGCTATTCTTACGTGGTGTTTTCAAACCAAAAGATAATAATAATAATAATAATAAGATCTTTATTAGGGTGAAAATTAGGCCTGGCCTTTTTACAATTTTGCCCATTTCAATTTGTGACAGAGGGGGTTGAATTTGTTTCAGAACAAGGGCAATAACTCATGATCTATTTTTGCCTGTCTGATTTCTAGATCTAGTTTGGTAGATGATTTTGGCATTTCCTTCAAACTAACGACTCTTTGTTCAATGTTTTTGAATAACGTTAGAATCGACTCTTGTCAAAAATTTCAAGTATAGACTTCTTGAAAAATCATTCTTCAATTGAGAAACCTTTGTTTTGATTTAGGAATTAATATAGATTAGAAAAAAATATTGTTTTGCTTTTTGATTGTTTTATGGATAGTTTGATATGATCAGAATATCTTGCTGTGTAGTTCCTACTGTATAATTGCGAGTCTAATGCTCATCCCTTCTTAACCTAAAGATAATGTTTAACGGTAAATTTTTCTTGCTGACTCAAGAGTAACTTTTAGGTTCTTGAAGGGTATACATTTCTGCCTCTCAATATGCAATAATTGTATGGGTTAAACGGCAATCCAAAAGGTGAACACAATTATTAAAAGACAGCATGGGAATCAAAATACTTTTGCTCCTTCTGGAGAATCAACATCTTGGATAAATTAGAGACACTATAAAAGTATCGCAAGATAATCTGATAAAATGAAACAGATCCAAGATTTTGTTATTTTTTGATGAAGAATAGTTATTTGTATAATGTATAATTTCTATTATTATTATTATTATTATGATGTATACAAACTCTTTATACATATAATTAATATTATTATTATTATTATTATTAACATTTTTACCATTTAAACATTATTCATACTAAAAACTCAAAACTGTGTTATTGATTCGTCATTAAGTAAAGAAAGAGGCGGGAGGGGGCTACCAAACAGCTAGATTTACCAATTAGACCCTTTAGATCCATGTTGGGTGCTCATCTAATTTACATATTGCCCTGTAGCTTCATTCCCTTACAATTTGCGAGCTGAAATTTGCCTTATTTGCAAGCTGTTTCTCTAAGGAACCCATTGGACATAAACCATGAAATTGCTATGTGTTTCTAGTTGTAGTTGTCACAGAACCTGATGATCCATACGGTTTTTGTGTAGATTAAATCATGCATTTAAACTTGTTACTAATGTCACTGTTGAGAAATACATATTTAACATTGTTAGATTCAAACAATCAGGTAACGATGAAGATATATTTGGTTGACGTACGATCCGTATATTGGCAGGTGATAAAAAATGACGTCGTTGTCTATATTACGTTGTCAATATACTATACTATCGCAATGAATACCGTACAATTCAGAACAAATTTTATTATCAGCTGACTAACGGCGTCCCATTTAATGTTAGTCAAGAAAAATTAGACTTAACTTCGCTGAACACAATCATGTTCCTGCTTTTGTTCTGAAAGTGAGCACAAAACGTATGTCAGCTTCAAGCAATTGGTGCTAGATAAAATCGGCATATTGATATATATCTAACCTCCTCACGTAGAACCGCCGATTATGCCCACAGGGACAGAGGGGTCAGCCATTCCCCACTCTCGCAGCCCCGAATGCAAGTTTTTCAGGCATGACTACCATAACTAGATTAAAAAATTCGGCCAACCTCAGATATTTCACCCCCTGGCTCGTCAACCTGGCTCCGCCACTGGTTGCTCGCCCTTATTATTAACCGGTATCAGTCGGTTGGCTATTGACCATCCAAAGTAGCCCTAAATCAAGGGGCAAGGTGAGTGTCATCAAATTTCGCCTTAAATGACCGCAGATTATGGTCTGGCTACTCCATTGGTATGATAATTCAGATATTTGACTGTCACTTTGAACACTTTTATCGAAGTCAAGTATGAATAATAAATCAATTTCAACCCCAATTGTAACTCGAATTATTGTTCTCCAGTTTGTTTGTCATCAGTTTGTTGAATGATATAGAACTATTTTCCAGGGTACGATATAGTAATCAAAATATTCATATGAATGAAATGGATCTAACATGTGTTAAACACGTCACATAACGACATAATTTATATAGACTGATAGAAATAAATAGTACGTCAAACACGACACTTGGTGACTCGCCAAATACGTCACTTGACGACACGTCAAACACGTCATTTGACGACACGTCAAACACGTCACATGGTGATACGTCAAACACGTCACTTGCCGACGAATTTTGGTCATTTAATTACCACTTTCTAGATGTAAATAGTATGTTTAGTTGCATGTAAAGGAAGGTGTTTTATTCGTCGGAATAAAGGATAGGCCTGTCGAGTTTGAGAATACTTGAAAGGGATTTTAAAAAGGTTATTTTTCCGATGTTTTTTCACCGATAAACTAAACCTAACTGGCTAACAATTCAGTGTGTATAGGCCTACTCAATATGCTAGTCCCCTGATGTCATTCTCGCGAAATGTTCTTCCCAAAGTTGTTGAATACAAAGGCAGTTTTATGTGGTCAAAATGACACCGAGTCTGTCAGCAGAATTGCCTGGAACATTGCATTTGATATCTTCAGGATCGACTGTTGAACTTTTTTTAAAAAAAAAAGTAGCCTTATCTCATTTTTCCTGGCAAATTTCCCTTCATTGTAGCCATCGTTGTTAACCCAGTACGGTTCAGAAACGTTCGACGTAAAACGCCAATTCTTTTCGCGTAATGTCGGCGTAACGGCTTGAACTGTGTTGTCAACAGGTGTGAATTGCCAGGTGAAGATTACAGGTGAGAAGAGCAGACGACATGAGTTTTAATCAAAACAAGAGTTATCGTTCTTATTTCATATTCCCACAATTCTCACCAATACTGACGACAAGTGAGCAGGGTGCGGTGGTGAACATAGTTAATATCGGCTCGTAGTTTTAGTATGGATCAAATCTGAACATTCAAATCGGAATAATAGTTTAGGAATGTCTTTACAAATTATTGTAATCGGAGCTACCAACGTTCCCAATCCGGAAACGTTTGGAGAATGCGATCCGTACGCATCTATAACTTTTCTAGGTAAAAAGTTTTATTCTATTTATAAAGTTTTCGGAATGTAAACACCGGCTCAAAACTGACCGAACGGGTGAATAGTTTAACCTTTGCAGATAATCTTGTATTTTTGATAATTTTGTATCTTTTAGGCCAAAAGAAAAAAACTGAAGTTGTAAAATCGGAAATAAATCCCAATTGGAATCAGGTAAGTTTATGAAAAGGTTGCAAATTTTATATATAAATTATTTTGAAGATATACCGGTATGTTATATACTCATGTAGGCCTATATCTCGGGGCAATATCGTTTAATATTACTGTGGTATATGAAGTTATAGTCTACAGTATATGAGGTTATTTCTGTAGCTGAACTCTATCAATGTTCATCTTCTGGTCATTATATTCAATCTCCCTTTGATAGTCAAGTTTTCAATGTTTTATATATGTATAGAGGCTTTATGACCAGCACAACTATTAACTTCTAGTATTTATCACTGGAGGGCAATATGAGGTATAAGAATATGAAATATTAGGTTTTAGTTTGCTTCTAAATAAATTACCCTTTTATTGTAGTAACTGCACGTTTTTCCTCAAATTTGAAAACTATTTTAAATATGAAATAATTAAATAGTTATCTGACAAGGATGTAAAACAGTGAAGTGAGTAAGTTGGGTATAACTTCTACTGTACTAGCATTTAATTACTAAGATATGAGTAGGCTGGGATATGAAACTTGGTGATATAATGTAATACTAATTTGTCAAGTTTATCACCTTTAAAATGAATTATTTATATTCATTGACATGGATTTAGTTGTAATGGGGTGGGGTACTGTATGTGAGCTTCTAATTAAACTCTATTGTGTAGAGATTAGGGTGGTTGAAAGGTAACAAGTTACTATTCAACAGAAAGCACTGGCACAGGATTAAAGCAGTGTTTATAATGATACGGTTATGTAGTAATAGGCTATGAGAGAAAAGCTGATAGGGTAGTTCTTGAACAGGCTTCAGTTATAGAATATATTTTTTGGGGGAAGGGGGGTTGAAGAGGGAGTGAGGGGGAGGGGGAGGTCGGGTTGAAGTTGACATTCTTGACCAGCTAAGGCTCCACTATTTTAAAGTGTCTGTTTGAGTGTATATGGCTAAAGAGTAGATTAATAATTAAATAGTAAGGAAAATCTGCAGGTCAATTTTTGAAAGAACAATTCTCTTCTCCCTTCTCTTCCCAAGTCTTCCTTATCAAATATCTGTCACAGGTCAGCAAGTTTTTATCTTATAATGTAAAACATGGTCTGACTGTATAAATACACCTACAACTCTATTTTATTTGAGTCAGGTCTAGCCTACAGTAGTTATTATATACTATTTGATACAAAATACCTACATATTATACCTCGGGCCAAATATCGAATGTTGAATAAGAACAGTTTTATTAGTATATCATCATTCAGATACAATATACATCTTTAGTTTTTCTGACTCTTCACTGGATGACATCTGTTGGTTAGAGTCAAGTCTACAAGAATTTAAAAAAAACAAAATATCTAGAGCAATATTTTGATTTTTATCAAATTGCCAAATTGATTTTTGACTTTCAGGGAATTTTATTTTTGATATGAAAACCATGACCTAATATTTCCTAAATGCTCATTAGATAATGTTATAAAACTCATCTGATTGATTCTGTTATTCAATTACTTGTTAAACCTATTAGAACAGCTTTATTAAAAGTGTGTGATAATCCCTCATACATCAAATATAGTTAAATACCAGTGACATGATAATATATCATATAGCCTCTAGGTCAGATTAGAGAATTTATCATTATCATCCCTTTTACTCCAGATAAAGGAATTAAACTACTGAAAAGAAATTGCCAAATAATCATAATGAGAACTTTTCAGTTGGTATGCTGATATAAGAAAAATTTAGATAGGGGCATATTTTTGACTGTGGAGGTTGGGGTAGTGTAGGGGGATTGGTGGGAGGGGGGAGATGACGTTTAGTATAGTAGTGAAGATCCATACAGTATTAGTAAACTACATAAGAAATATACACAGCTATGTAATATTAAACGAAAGTGTTGTGTGCCTTAGACCTTTCCTATGGTTTAAAAGAGGGAGGGGGATATATTTTTGACAGTGAGAGAGAGGAGAGGGGGTACATGTCAGATTAGTATTAAATAGTCACTATATTGTAATAATATATGACTATGTAATATTAAAAGTAAGTGTTATATGACTAATAACCTCTCAAGTCAAGTGGAACATTGTAATACTGTGTATTAGCTAGTGTGTATTTACTGGGCATTATTAATATATTATATATACTCTTTGGATATCACATACCATAAATTACTTCAGTCAGCAAATATTTCTACCATTTATAAACAAACTTTTATATTTTAATTCAAAACTAGAGTCTTACTGATAATCTTTATATATTGTCTGCATTCCAGACTGCAAGGCATTACCGGTATCAGTTATCTTTGGCCTAATTATATTCTGCACAGTAGGAGGTTCTTTTGAATATTTCAATGACCCAATATTATTTAATGAGAACAATTAGATCAAAACAGTAGGATATATAAACAATAGAATATACTGATGTACAGCTTGTTGTGATGTTTTGTTTATAACGATATTAGTGCTGATTAGAGTTGGTTTGAGGATCTTCAGGCTTCAACTTCTGGCCACCCTCTTTTCAAGTAAAGAAACAAGTAAATGATGTCCAAAGATGACAGTAATATTTGACATACTAGACTAAATCCTGACTTGTTGAAAGACAATTCTTTCCTATGTAAATGATAAAAAAAAATTGAAAGTGGGAGGGGCTTAATCTGTATAATGATAATAAGTAATTTTTGTTTCAAGAATTTTAACTCAGATCTACCATTAGTCCAATGTCCAGTGTCCAATTGGACAAAAATCTTTGTCCTTGATAGCTCTAAATAGCCCTTCATATGATGGCTATAAATTCATTGAGGTCAGGTAGATGGGATATAAAGAGAAGTTTATGTATTAATTTACCTCCTTGTGTTTGAGACTGGAGAGTTTTTATAGACCATTGAAGGGGGTGGTTCAAGATACAAGACCCTTTGACTTTCTTTCTTCTTTCTTAATACCATTTCAAGATGACTGAATAATTCTTTAATAGTTTTATTCATTCATTCATTCATTCATTCATTCATTCATTCATTCATTCATTCATTCATTCATTCATTCATTCATTCATTCATTCATTCATTCATTCATTCACCTTTTCTGTTCTTTCATTCCTTCCTCTATTCCTCTGTTTATTATACAATGCTATCCTAGAATGATGCTAATTAAATATGCAAATATATGCAAGTTGAAAGTATATTAAAAATAGATTTGCATATTTAGATTATTTTATTATGTTCGATTTAGTCATGAGAGAAAATATTAAATTTTCCGATTCAACTATGTTTTCACAGTCTAAATATTTTGTCGAATAATTTGAATGACATACTTTTGAATGAATTATTTCAAATATTTTATATTGTTTAAAAATTGACACATATCTATGTAGAAAATTAGGATCTTTAGCTTCTACAGTGTTGAAACTCGAACTGCATGCTTTCAGTAGACTTCAAACAGTAACCACCTTTATAGTATAGACATTGTATAAATGATATATTTTGCTAATTGATTTTAGAAAGTTAAATTTTGTTAAATTCAGCATGAGTTATTTACCTGAATGAAGTTACATACACTGGCAGTGCCAGCCTTCCGAGACTGGGGGTACAAACAGGGGGCAGACTGATTCAATGGGGGAACAACTGCTGTGTGGTGGTGTCATAGCCACAAGCTTCTCATAGAGCGTCTTGGAGAGTTTTCTCAAGAAAATTTGATTTTGTGCACTTTGACACATATTTCGGAGAAAAAATATTTTAGATTTGTTGAAAATAAAGTGGGGGTACAATTGAGGGCGCCGCCACTGGTTACACACCTGGAAATAAGAGTGTACGAGTTGAATTTACGTTATATTCATATGATAATTTGACAGTATTTCTCCAGACAAACCCCAGAGATCTTGAGCTGGATGTTCACACAAGTGGAGAAAGTAGCATTGGATTTTTATATTCGCTTCACTGCCAGATTTCATCAGAACCAACAATCAATAATTAAAAATGAAATTTGGAACTGGCCAGATATGAATCTTATTTAGATTTCTATGAATATTAATATAGTATTAAACTGATCAAATAAATGATTGAAAAATTAGCATAAAAATAATAACTGATGTTTTATACCCAGCTATATTTATTTATATTATTTATATTATTTATATTATTTATATTATTTATTTATTTATTTATTTATTTATTTATTTATGACAGTATGACAATTGGGTAGCATAGTATTCTGTTTCATAACAATTATGTAATGAAGCGCCAAGGGTTTGAATCGTAGTATATCTTTGTAAGTTATTGCAGTAACACCTCTTTAAATGCTGGAATTTAACCCTAGGCCTTCAGGTTGGTGAACAAGTGTCTTAGAGCCACTACCCTTAACCCACACCCTTCATGACTTGTAGCATGGTAGCAAGTGAAACTGTTTTGGTGGGTCATTTTATACAAAGATTTCTCCCTGGACAGGGCTAGCAACCCTGCTGAATTAAACGGATGAAGTTTAAGTGGTTCACTTAGTGTAAATAAAAATATGAAATTAGATACAAGTTATAAGGATGTTAAATATTTTCTGTAATAGTATAGGTTTAAATACTAAGATTATAAAATGTCTAGTCTATGTGTATCTGGAGGGTGGGGTAGAAAAACAGAGAGCTTATATCAGCTGATAAAATATGATTCATGATACCTGAAACATTTTTAAAAATCAATACTGGTATTGGGTTCATGAACAATTAGATAAAAGGATGGTGTAGTAACCTGTGAAAGTTTGTGCCCAAAACAGACTTTCTGAAGGATCTTGAAGTGTCTTCAATGTTTATTTGCATTACCAATGTCTATAAAGGAGCAGATGAGAGAAGGATAGGGAGAATACAAGCACCTGACCATCCCGCTCTCTGTTTGAGGCTGCTTCTAGAAAACATTGTCCTAATGCACTCCCTGTCTCTCTATTCCCAAAAATCAGCTGACCAGTGGGATTGGGACAATAGACCCACCCACGTTAAGGTGTTCTCTATGTCTCATCACTTTATCAGGAGGTGAAATTTCTATCTTCTATTTTTTTATCATCTGATACGAGAATGTACCTGTTTTTTGAGACAACACACCCATTCAGAGTCCACTCTATGTATTATCAGTTTATCCGGAACTTTCGATATGTTGATATCTGATGTGAAACTTAAGCCCTGATTATTCTGAAACACTCCTCTGTCTTTTAAAAAATCAAAATTGACATTGGCGTATTGAATTGAGTGGGTCATAGTGCCATGGTCCCCCTCCTCAAGACAGAAAAAATGAGAAATTTATTCTACTATTTATACACTGCCAAAATTGCGTTACTTCGTTTTCCGCTTTCCTAGATTAGGAAATTTTGACCTCCAACTTATGTAGTATCCTCTTAAATCTGTAGGGGGAACCGAGGTGCTCGTATGGCCCTACCCCCACCCCCAACAAGAAAATCCACGCTACACCACTGAAAAATAACATATCCGTGTGTTCTCAATTTGTTATCAGCTTATCTTGAAATGAAATTTGTATATTTTGATATCTGATAAGTATCTACGCCCTGACAATATTGATAGTGACTGATTAGAGGTAGATAAATTAGTAAAGCTCCTTACAATATTGATTATACAATCAGATCTATTTATAGTCCAACTTTTATCAATAAGAATTTCCAAATTTATGTTATTTTGTTATTCTCTTTAGGCTTGTCTACTAGTTGGGGTCTTTTGGTTTGGTTTTATTTGTTTTATCATCTTAATTCTGCCCCACAGATGAATCAAGTGCTACTGTTGAGCATGGTTGAATTAGAATGTGGTATTTGTTTTAATTCAGCTACCACACCCTCCCCTTCCCTGTCCATTTAAATTCTGCCATTTTCACCCAAGATGGATAAAGAATGACATGGTTAACAGTAAAGTAAGGCAAACACTCATTAGCATTCGGTCCAATCATTTGCTAACTTTTCAATAGGTCCTAGCTAAAGAGTCAAGATATTTCACCCAGATCAAAGGAGGTTAAGAGAGGCACATGCTAAAGAGCCTTGATGTAGTTAGATTCCAATTTCTCTACAATATTTCTACTATTAATACTATTTAAATACCAGATATTTTGTCTTCAGTAAAAGAATGTGAAGTATGATAAAGTGGGTGACAGTAAATTAAACAAGGTCAAGGTGACCTGATATAATCGTGTAGGAGGTGATAACTCTACATTATATCTCTCTCCAAAGTTATAATTATCTTCTTAATATAGAAATATAAAACAGAACCTGAAACAACTGATCTTTTTCAGCCGGTATCCCTACTGAAGTTTGACATGTAGAGATCTTCAGACAACTGATCTATTTCAACCTGTATCCCTACTGAAGTTTGACAAGTAGAGATCTTCAGACAACTAATCTATTTCAACCTGTATCCCTACTGAAGTTTGACATGTAGAGATCTTCAGACAACTGATCTATTTCAACCTGTATCCCTACTGAAGTTTGACATGTAGAGATCTTCAGACAACTGATCTATTTCAACCTGTATCCCTACTGAAGTTTGACATGTAGAGATCTTCAGACAACTGATCTATTTCAGCCTGTATCCCTACTGAAGTTTGACAAGTAGAGATCTTCAGACAACTGATCTATTTCAACCTGTATCCCTACTGAAATTTGACAAGTAGAGATCTTCAGACAACTGATCTATTTCAGCCTGTATCCCTACTGAAGTTTGACAAGTAGAGATCTTCAGACAACTGATCTATTTCAGCCTGTATCCCTACTGAAGTTTGACAAGTAGAGATCTTCAGACAACTGATCTATTTCAACCTGTATCCCTACTGAAGTTTGACATGTAGAGATCTTCAGACAACTGATCTATTTCAGCCTGTATCCCTACTGAAGTTTGACAAGTAGAGATCTTCAGACAACTGATCTATTTCAGCCTGTATCCCTACTGAAGTTTGACAGGTAGAGATCTTCAGACAACTGATCTATTTCAGCCTGTATCCCTACTGAAGTTTGACAAGTAGAGATCTTCAGACAACTGATCTATTTCAACCTTTATCCCTACTGAAGTTTGACAAGTAGAGATCTTCAGACAACTGATCTATTTCAACCTACTGAAATTTGACAAGTAGTACATGCATGTTCTTGTATCTAACAAGTTCCCATAGTATCCTAATGAATTATTTTGTGGACACAATGTGGCATCATGTATTCTGAAAGAGCTTGCCTGACCCCTGCCTCTGCTTTTGTAGAACATAAATTCAGTAGGTTTCGAGAATGAGTAAATATTGTGATGTTCAGGCAATATTGCTTATTTAAAAGAATTGTCTCTCAGATGTAGTTATGTTTATATTTTGAGTTTATGAATAGGTACATCTGTAACAATAAGAGTAGAGGAAAGATATTTAACTAGTCTAGTTGTAAGTGTATTGTCCTGATATAGAATAGTTACAATAACAGAATGGTCTTTCACAATAATATTCATATCATTTCACACTTAATTAAACATCATGATCTAGTCCAGCTTGATATACAGACTGATTTTATTATGATGGGGGTGGGGCGCTTTCTGATAATTTGTTAGTAGCAAATATTCGAGTGAGAACCTAGAAGGCGGAAGGGGAAAGGGTTCTGCGTTCCATCAATCAGCTGTGGGTTAGGCCTGGGAGAATTCCAACAGGAAGCTGGACATTTTTTAAAATTTACCAATAGGGTTAGTACCACTATGTACTACAACTCCAAAATTTCTCCATTTTCCTCAGTAGGCTTACCTCATTCATAATGAATATACCAAAAATAAATGTAAGGTTAAGTCTACAAACCTAAATACCAAATAAACATTTTTAGCTATGTGGACTCTCTGAAAGTATGCCTAGTTGATACGAAATAAATATTATTAGGTATGTTGACTCTCTGCAAATAATGTAGAATCGACAAACCTCAATACCAAGTAAACATTTCTAGCTATGTGTGGACTCTCTGAAAGGGATACAGAAATGACAAACCTAAATTTCAAATAAACATTTTAGTTATGTGGACTCTCTGAAAGGGATGTCGAATTGACATGATGAGGAAGAGAAATTGAAATTATAAATAAAACATGTTTTGTTATTTTGAATTTAATGGAAGCAATTAAATGGCATGATTGAGGTCAGACAATTATTAACATTATGTTAAAGGTTAGGTCATTGTGTAAGGGGTCATTTTGAAATGATGGGGGTGGGACAATTAAGATAATTAATATCTAACGAGTTGCCATGGTACCAGTAGGTATTCTGTTGATTTGATGCAAAATGCAGTTGTGGCCAAAGTTTATCAATGGAAAATATGTGAGAAATTTATTTTTGTAAATATCTTTGATAAAGTCTTTTTATGTTTGAAAATTCAATTTTTTTAGGATGTTTTGTTAGTAGCTCATCTGAATTTTGATTGTTCTTTGCCTACAAGATGAGGCAACTTAAGCAGCCAAATTTGATAGAATTGACTAGAGCACATCTCAGTTTTTTTTAGAAATGAAATGAATGGAGTTTTATGTCCAACCTTGGTGCAGCCTATAGCACATGAACCTCAGTTTATTGTCCCACCAATGTCTAGATGCTATTTACATGTCAGATCTTGTGCCCTGCATCACTGACAGGGGGAAACCAGGTTGAAAAATCTGAAGGTACTATCTCGACCTATGCTGGGATTGAATCCTGGACCTTCAGATTCTTTAGAGAGATATATCGTTTGCAGCTTTCATACGTTTGACTCCTATCTTATTGATTAGAACTCTTCTCATGATATTGACCTGTGTTTCGGATATATAATCCTCATCAGGACATGGAAATGTAGGCTACAATATAAGGCTAAGTGAATTCATTAAGCTATTTAATATGTAAGACTAGAAACAGCTGTTTGATATGATAAAATCTAATGATAAATTACGTTATACATCATTTTATTTTTCAAATATTGTTTAATAGACCAAAAAGATAACCTGGTTTAAACAATATTTAATTACAATCTTATATACGTAGATACTGCCGAACATAATAGAGAAATTACTGTCTTAATCATTAAGATAAGGGTATGGAATTTCCATATTCAGCATGGAATATTTAAAATGGGGAATCTTAAGCTCTCTCTGATCTAACAGTTGATCTCCTAAATTCTTAGATCAGTCTTCCAATACATTATTTACTAGAATTTTCACAAACGATGTTTTATATTAGGGGGATATGCCTAACCTTGCTATAATCTCAAAGGGACTTTTGACCAGTGGGGCTTTTATAGGTCATTTTTCCAGCCAAATTGAAGAGCATTAGGATATAAATTATCTTTTTTTTTCTATTACAGACATTGGAGTTTGATTTACAAGGTGTACCAGCTAAAAGTACAGATGAGGTCACGATAGAGGTAAAAGATTGGGAAAGAGTTGGTAGAAACAGGTAAGCTATAGTTTATATCTTTGGTACAATACGCTCTGGAAGTATTTGACAGATGTTGGTCATTTGGAAAACCTGGATCATTTTCTGACCTTTTGTTATTATATTGCTTCTGTTACGATGATATTTCCCCTTATTTTACGCAAGGTTTATGTCCCATGTGCTCTGTATCACAATAAACTGAGGTCCTGTCTACTACAGGCTGTATGCTCCTAGAATGAAATGAATATGAAATAGAGTAAGTTAACGTAGACAATAGTTCTCTCATTGCACACTGCATGGCATTGCCGTTCTTCATTAGCCCAATCAGGTGCATAAAACACCATTTCATTATATTTCTGATTGAGTGATCATTGATTGTTGATTATTGAGGGTAATATATGCATATAGAATGATGTTTATGAAGGAGTTAATTGTATCATGGTAACATATTGTTTTGATAGTTCATTATCTTTTACATTTTAATCAAAACACCCACTTTCACTTTTACATTGTCTCATATTCTAGCTTATTATATATTCAAAAAATTTGTAAATATAGAAAAAAAACATAAAATGACATGAGAAATGTGTATTTGTAACTTTTGAGTGCATAAATTGATATTTTGTCATATCATCTAGGCGGGAAATGACATCAGATATATAGAATGTAGGCTACAATTTAAACAATAGCTAAGATTTGAATGTTAAAATCTTCACCTTTGAGTAAAATTCTCTCATTGTGATTGCTCACGGCATGGCTTCTACGTTTTGATTAGATTCAGAAAATTAGGGTGTGAAACTCCCTATGTTTCCTGCATTTATTACATTTTATATAGAGAGTATAGAATGAGAAACAGCTAAAAATTTGAATATGAAAATGTTCATTTCTTAGCAAAATTCCTGAATTGCCCACCGCATGGTTTTTACGTTAACGTCATTGGGGTTCCTAGTTGTTAACTCTAAATAGTTGACATCTCCCTAAATCCTATCATATTTTGACCATAAGATTAAGGCCGTACATGTTGTTAGTGTAACGATAAGAGAACACAAGACAGGTCCAGTTTCAGTGCATTCTTTAGTGATATTAGGTTGTCTTTTGATGCTCTTCAACAAAAGAGATGTGAAAATGACAATGATATATAAACAAGGGAAATGAAATGTGGTGTGTTTTGTTTAAATCATGTCTGACTAAATTACTGTCAACTCCTACTCTCTGTCATGAGTTAACATTGATATTGTTTATAAATACAGAAAGATATAGTTTAAATGAGTTTATAATTAAAGAAAGGCTGTGGCTATTCGTACCAAGACGGTATTAAAATGGGCATTACAAATCCTAACCCCAACAAATTCACTTAATATCATTCTTGACAATCAATATGGCTTCACACTTTAAAAAAAACCCCCAAATTAGCGTGCCTATTATGTCCTGTCTTATCCGTACTGTTGTTAGCAGCCACAGAGAACACGCATCATGACGGTGCAAATAGCTGGTACATTAAAGAAAACTTAATTTTGGTCTTGATTATTGCATTGAGAATTATATTTAACAGGTGATGAAGATACTTTAAGAGATTGAAAATAAAAGATTCATGCGTCTGTTTTAAAAAGATTTCCCACATTGCATACTAGGCCTACTTAGTCTTGCTCTCAGTTCTCCAAAATATTTGTCAGAAAAAGCACCATTTCAAAACTATTTTTCATAAATTTTCTTGTCTATCCTTTCCACACATAGCTGCTGATTTTGGATTGGAAATTCTTGATGGTTGTCCATAAGTCAGTCAGCCCCTTATTTATAACCTCATCTTGAGTTACTGTCACTTTGTTGGCATGTAAATTTCTTTTTTGAATTTCTTTCTAACTTTGCCTATTGTATCTAGAAAAAGTGCAGACCTCATATTTGTTGTATAAATTGTCTTATTATTTTGTTTATTGTATTAGACTATAAGTGGCTTGTCTTATTTCATCTCTACTTTTAAAATGTCATGGGGTTAAAGGTCAAGTATTTTAACAAATTTGTCAGAATATATTCATTGTAATATCCTGTTTAAAATACAACAAATTAATCATTCTTAAAAAAACATGGGACATAACTCTTCAATGCTTCGTTGAAGTCTCTCTTTCTTATGAAATAAAATGTGGTTTTGTGATTTTTTTGTGCTTGGTACTACAGGGAAATTAGGCAACATTTTAAAGCATGGGACATAACTCTTTATTGCTTGATTGACGTTTTCAACTGTTTGATTAAATATGATAATCATTATGTGATGGATTTGTAACAAATGTATCTTGAAATGGAGTCTTGTTTCTAACTCTGATCTTTATCTCTTTCAAGTTAATGAAGGCAAATTATTCCGCTCTATGGCCAATGAACAGAATGATCTAAATATGGAATTAAAACTTCAATACTAAGCTGACAAATTCAACAGCTTGAGTTAGACAAGATGGAGTTTTATTTTAGACTGCTCTGCTCGTTTATGTATATTGCATTAATTAATTCAAAACACAATTCATTGCCAGTAAAAGAAACTTATACCCCAGCAAAGCCATTTTGATTGATTGGTTGCTAGGTAATCTCAGTCTATAGTTACAGAATGATATAAATTATATATTTTCAGATTATTGGGTTCGGTCAAATTTAAACTAAATGAATTAACAAAAGGAGGTGTTCAGTCGAAGTCCATGACACAAAATCTATTGGATGCTAATAATAGACCACATCAGGTAAGGTTATCTCCCTTTAATTAGTTATGGTTATGTAATGAGAATGACGCTTGCTTGCTAACCTGAAGGTCCACGGTTCAATACCAGCATAGTTCAAGAAGATACTTGATTTTTCAACCTGGTGTCCGTTGACATGGCAAAATTTCCCTCATTGCACACTGCATGGTATTGCCCTTCTTCATGAGCCAAATCAGACGCAGAACAGAAGGATGTATCTTATTTTCATCTTGAGTAAGTTTTGTGGATTCCTTGTTTTAAAGGTGCAGACCTTAAAGGAGAGATAGTCCAGAAATTTAGGTGTAAAAAAAAGTGGAAATGCATTCCCGACCATTATAGCTTCTATTTGCAACAATCCAATTTTCCATTTGATGGTTGTGGTTCCTGTAATTATGGAAATGCTTAACTTTATATGCCGTCACTATTTTGTAAAACTGTAGATAATATCCAAGGGTCTTTGCGATAGTGATGTCATACAATGCTTAGTTTTATTGGAATTGCAAGACCCATAGATGTCTGACTAAAAATTGGAATGGTGCAAATGGATGCTATCAATGTCCCCGATACACGTACACCTCTCATTTCAAAGACTCTAATTAATATTATTATTTTTTCAGTCACAAATTAAATTAAAAGTAACGTATGCTCCACCTGCTGGTAAAGGTGGTGGTAGCGGGTCACAAACAGAAGGTTCACAAGGTAAGTTAATATATTATATTCAGTATTCATGCCACGATATTTCTGGTCATCAGGAAACCCAGAATTTCTCTATTTTTTGGTCAATAAATAATTTTCTTTCTGATAAAACCGCTAAAAATTTGGTTTGAGGGAGAAACAGATTTTTAAACAGGAAACAAATTAGAAAAACATTCTTAAAATGGTAAAATCTCCCCCTGTACCCTCTTACGGGAGCCTGGGGCACCCCTTTACCATCAGCTGATATTTTCTATTGGCTCAATTTTTGTTGGTTTCTTACTGAGATCCCTGATTCAATGTAAATGTTGACAAACCTAAACACTGAATAAACAATATTAGCTATGTGGACACTCTGAAAGGGTTGCAGAGACCAAAAATTAAGAAAAGAGTTCTAAAAGCGAAAGCCTGTTCCCCAATCCTATTTTACTGAAAAAACATGTAAAATAGAGGTCAGTGTTCTAGAAGAAAGAGCATGACCTGCCTCAGAATCAACTTAGTCATAAAAACTAATTAACGATATGAATATTAAACACATTAATACTATAATTATAATACACTGAAATATTAATTAAGCATCATGTACTAATTAAATTTGATATTTAACGAACTAATTTTAAGATGTCATTAGCTGACAGATGACATGTCATGGAAAGTTTGATTGTGACAAATTGATTGCAGTTTTAGTCATTTTGGTTTATTTTCGAGTACATTACATATATATACATGTATTAAATTGTTGATTGCCCTTTCCCATTGCACACTGCATGGTGTTGCTTGCCGATAATCATTAGCCTAATCATGTGCAGAAATTAGGACATAAAATTTCCTTTCATTAGCCCATATGAGCTGCAGAAAACTTAACATTTTATTTGTTTATCTCTCATGGCATTGAAAAAAAAAAGGGTTTTATTTAAACAAAAGTCTTGGGGGAAAAAAGATTAATTAAAAATGTCAAGGTTGTTGCCATGAATTCATTATATTGTTATTATTGTATATAAGACACTAACAAGCTGTAGCCCCAAAATAATATAACTTAAAATAATAGTCATTACTTATTTTTCCATTTAATTTCAAGAAGGTGTTGTATCTTGATCAGTAACCATAGTTTCGAATTAAAAAATTACGCAGAAATAAATTTATTCTTTAAATTTATTCTTTAAATTTGTATGATTTGTTAAGTTTCTTCAAATTAAAGTTGTGTTGTGTGTAGTGAAGACAGTTTTGGAGTGAAGACAGTTTTGGAGTGAAGACAGTTTACAGTTTTGGAGTGAAGACAGTTTTGGAGTGAAGACAGTTTTGGAGTGAAGACAGTTTTGGAGTGAAGACAGTTTTGGAGTGAAGACAGTTTTGGAGTGAGGACAGTTTTGGAGTGAAGACAGTTTTGGAGTGAAGACAGTTTTGGAGTGAAGACAGTTTTGGAGTGAGGACAGTTTTGGAGTGAGGACAGTTTTGGAGTAAGACAGTTTTGGAGTGAAGACAGTTTTGGAGTGTTTTGGAGTGAGGACAGTTTTGGAGTGAGGACAGTTTTGGAGTGAAGACAGTTTTGGAGTGAGGACAGTTTTGGAGTGAGGACAGTTTTGGAGTGAGGACAGTTTTGGAGTGAAGACAGTTTTGGAGTGAAGACAGTTTTGGAGTGAGGACAGTTTTGAAAACTTGATTGATTTTGGTTTTATGAATGTTTGGACTAGCGGTCTGGTGAATCTGAAAAACAATATCACTATATCACAACAAGAAAAGTTGACGAAATGTGCTCAGTGCCAGTGTCTTTATGTGGATTTTAAATGTTTTTGTTACGATTGAAAGTTTGAGAAACCTTAGAATGAATTAATATTTATAATTAATGATTGGCTAATCCACTTGACAACCAGACCTGCCAAAAGTCAAAATTGATACTATGGATAAACTGAAGAAAATTGTATTAAAAGGTAATTTGCTGTCCATAAATTGTCAATATTTTTTTATGGAGAGCTTCCCCATCCCCACTGAAACCTAGTGTTTGCCCTCAACAACCTGGTTAAAGCTTTGGGATTAATAGGAAACCATTGTGAAACTCTTCTATCTTGAAGCAAGGTTTTATATTTCTTTACATTGTCTCACAATTCAAAACTATTTGGATAAAGTAAACCCCTGACCCATCTATTAATTGATAAGGTTATAAATGACCATTTTTTAATAGATTCATACGTATTATAGAAGTTTGTTTATCTCTGGTTCAATTTCGTGATCAGTCGAAAAATCGAATTCCTTTGTTCAGACATGAATTAATTTTCAAAAGTTTTTATGCTCTGCTGACTTTTAATTTAATTGATTTTTATTTAAAGTTACCCCATAGAGTTTAGTCTACATATATAGACAATTTGGCCGAAGATTGCATAGCATGAAACTCTGAGTAACAACATGATTCAGGTTCTGTTTTAATATTGATATTAACAACAATTGTATTGAGCACTATTTTAACAGTAGTATTTCTATATCGCTCTAAAATTGATGTATTGAGCACTATTTTAACAGTAGTATTTCTATATTGCTCTACTATTGATGTATTGAGTACTATTTTAACAGTGGTATTTCTATATCACTCTACAATTGATGTATTGAGTACTATTTTAACAGTGGTATTTCTATGTCACTCTACAATTGATGTATTGAGTACTATTTTAACAGTGGTATTTCTACACTCTACAATTGATGTATTGAACACTATTTTAACAGTGGTGTTGATGTATTTAGCACTATTTTAACAGTGGTATTTCTATATCACTCTACAATTGATGTATTGAGTACTATTTTAACAGTGGTATTTCTATGTCACTCTACAATTGATGTATTGAGTACTATTTTAACAGTGGTATTTCTACACTCTACAATTGATGTATTGAACACTATTTTAACAGTGGTGTTGATGTATTGAACACTATTTTAACAGTGGTGTTGATGTATTGAACACTATTTTAACAGTGGTGTTGATATATTTAACACTATTTTAAAAGTGGTGTTGATGTATTGAACACTATTTTAACAGTGGTGTTGATGTATTGAACACTATTTTAACAGTGGTGTTGATGTATTGAACACTATTTTAAAAGTGGTGTTGATGTATTGAACACTATTTTAACAGTGGTGTTGATGTATTGAACACTATATTAACAGTGGTGTTGATATATTTAACACTATTTTAAAAGTGGTGTTGATGTATTGAACACTATTTTAACAGTGGTGTTGATGTATTGAACACTATTTTAACAGTGGTGTTGATGTATTGAACACTATTTTAACAGTGGTGTTGATGTATTGAACACTATTTTAACAGTGGTGTTGATGTATTGAACACTATTTTAACAGTGGTCTTGATGTATTGAACACTATTTTAACAGTGGTCTTGATGTATTGAACACTATTTTAACAGTGGTGTTGATGTATTGAACACTATTTTAAAAGTGGTGTTGATGTATTGAACACTATTTTAACAGTGGTGTTGATGTATTGAACACTATTTTAACAGTGGTGTTGATGTATTGAACACTATTTTAACAGTGGTGTTGATATATTTAACACTATTTTAAAAGTGGTGTTGATGTATTGAACACTATTTTAACAGTGGTGTTGATATATTTAACACTATTTTAAAAGTGGTGTTGATGTATTGAACACTATTTTAAAAGTGGTGTTGATGTATTGAACACTATTTTAACAGTGGTGTTGATGTATTGAACACTATTTTAACAGTGGTGTTGATGTATTGAACACTATTTTAACAGTGCTGTTGATATATTAATTTAACAGTGAAAATATTATTTTATTATGTATATATAATATTTATTTATTCATTAAAACGAATAATAATGAAAAATTTTGCATATTACTGATCAATACTCGGCAATCTGTTAAGGGGAGCTGAAAAACGTTCAAAGTTAAAATCATTTGAATAGTTAGTAAGCTATGATACTGGATATTTTCACGTCTAA